GAGGAAGACCAGACGCTCCCCCGCCGCTTTCCCCTCCGGGGGATGGTCAAACACCGCCCTGAAGCGGCGGGAGAACTCGGTGTACGTGATGGTCGTGGCGTCGATCTTCCTCCACTCCGCGTTGGCCCACTCCAACGCTTTTCCGGCCAGGCAGGAGATCAGGGCGGACACGCTCTCATGCCCTGAAGGTGCCGGGTGCACGGTGGCCAGGTATAGCTCTACCTGGAGCAGGAATCCCTGACACCCAGCCGCTGTCCCGTCGTACGCCCTCGGGAGAGATAGTCGGACTCCTCGAGGTTCCGGCGCTGGAATGGGCGGGCTGGCCGATGGTGCTGGCAGGGCGGGCGGTGGTGGAGGCGAACCCCAGCCTCGGAGTGTGGTAATCACCTCCTGCAGGGCGTTCCCCATCTGCAGGAGTTGATCTTGCTGGTCCCGAACCTGGGCTTCCAGTCTTGTCTGGGCTGCTTCGGCTCCTGCTGATTCCATGACTGGTGTATGATTCTGTCAGGGCGTGTGTAGGTGTAGTGTAGGAAATCAAATGCAGGACGCCGACGGTAGGTTCCAAATGCTGTATTTCTGGCCCAACACAGGCAACAGGACAACTAAGCCCAACAGCTAAACTACGCACAAGGCGAAAAGGCAAATGCGCACAAACAGGTGCGACAAACGAAGTGGTGCACGAACAAGTGCAACTGTGCTCCAGCGCAGTGGAGAAAATATGCTCAACCGAGCAAAACACAACACTGACGAAAAACAATCATACACAACACATGACAAACACAACGAGAAACTTATAGGACCCTAATTACGTAAAACAGAAACAGGTGTGACACAAACAGACAAAAGCAAACGAACATGAAACATCTATCGGTGGCAGCTAGAATTCCGGAGACGACGAGCGCCGAAGCCTGCCCGAACAAGGAGGAGAGGCAGCCTCGGCCGAAACCGTGACACAGACCAAGGCTCTGCATCTGTCCTCGTGCTCCTAGATCTTAGTGCTGCTTTTGACACCATCGATCACCACATTCTTTTGGAGAGATTGGAAACCTTAATTGGTCTACACAGACAAGTTCTTGCTTGGTTTAGATCTTATCTGTCTGAAAGATAAGTTCGTCTCTGTGGATGGTTTGTCCTCTGACAAATCAATTGTAAGTTCCGGTGTTCCTCAAGGTTCCGTTTTAGGACCACTATTGTTTTCACTATATATTTTACCTCTTGGTGATGTCATTCGGAAACACAATGTTAACTTTCATTGCTATGCGGACGACACACAGCTGTACATTTCGATGGAACATGGTGAAGTCCCAAAATTGCCTACCCTGGAAGCCTGTGTTTCAGACATAAGGAAGTGGATGGCGGCACATTTTTTACTTTTAAACTCGGACAAAACAGAGATGCTAGTTCTAGGTCCCAAGAAACAGAGATCTTCTGTGGGATCTGACAATTAATCTTGATGGTTGTACAGTCGTCAAAAAAAAAAAACTGAAGGTCCTCGGTGTTACTCTGGACCCTGATCTCTCTTTTGACGAACATATCAAGAATATTTCAAGGACAGCTTTTTTCCATCTTTGTAACATTGCAAAAATCAGAAACCTTTTGTCAAGAAATTAAGCAGAAAAGCTAATCCATGCTTTTGTCACTTCTAGATTAGACTACTGCAATGCTCTACTCTCCGGCTACCCGGATAAAGCACTAAATAAACTTCAGTTAGTGCTAAACACGGCTACTAGAATCTTGACTAGAACCAAACAATTTGATCATATTACTCCAGTGGCTTCCTGTTAAGGCTAGGGCTGATTTCAAGGTTTTACTGCTAACCTACAAAGCATTACATGGGCTTGCTCCTACCCATCTCTCCGATTTGGTCCTGCCGTACATACCTACACGTACAGTGAGGGAAGAAAGTATTTGATCCCCTGCTGATTTTGTACGTTTGCCCACTGACAAAGACATGATCAATCTATACTTTTAAATGGTAGGTTTATTTGAACAGTGAGAGACAGAATAACAACAAAAAAATCCAGAAAAAAACACATGTCAAAAAAGTTAAATTGATTTGCATTTTAATGAGGGAAATAAGTATTTGACACCCTCTCAATCAAAAAGATTTCTGGCTCCCAGGTGTCTTTTATACAGGTAACGAGCTGAGATTAGGAGCACACTCTTAAAGGGAGTGCTCCTAATCTCAGCTTGTTACCTGTATAAAAGACACCTGTCCACAGAAGCAATCAATCAGATTCCAAACTCTCCACTATGGCCAAGACCAAAGAGCTCTCCAAGGATGTCAGGGACAAGATTGTAGACCTACACAAGGCTGGAATGGGCTACAAGACCATCACCAAGCAGCTTGGTGAGAAGGTGACAACAGTTGGTGCGATTATTCGCAAATGGAAGAAACACAAAAGAACTGTCAATCTCCCTCGGCCTGGGGCTCCATGCAAGATCCCACCTCGTGGAGTTGCAATGATCATGAGAACGGTGAGGAATCAGCCCAGAACTACATGGGAGGATCTTGTCAATGATCTCAAGGCAGCTGAGACCATAGTCACCAAGAAAACAATTGGTAACACACTACGCCGTGAAGGACTGAAATCCTGCAGCGCCCGCAAGGTCCCCCTGCTCAAGAAAGCACATATACAGGCCCGTCTGAAGTTTGCCAATGAACATCTGATGAATCAGAGGAGAACTGGGTGGAAGTGTTGTGGTCAGATGAGACCAAAATCAAGCTCTTTGGCATCAACTCAACTCGCCGTGTTTGGAGGAGGAGGAATGCTGCCTATGACCCCAAGAACACCATCCCCACCGTCAAACATGGAGGTGGAAACATTATGCTTTGGGGGTGTTTTTCTGCTAAGTGGACAGGACAACTTCACCGCATCAAAGGGACGATGGACGGAGCCATGTACCGTCAACTCTTGGGTGAGAACCTACTTCCCTCAGCCAGGGCATTGTAAATCGGTCGTGGATGGGTATTCCAGTATGACAATGACCCAAAACACACGGCCAAGGCAACAAAGGAGTGGCTCAAGAAGAAGCACATTAAAGGTCCTGGAGTGGCCTAGCCAGTCTCCAGACCTTAATCCCATAGAAAATCTGTGGGTGGAGCTGAAGATTCGAGTTGCCAAACGTCAGCCTCGAAACCTTAATGACTTGGAGAAGATCTGCAAAGAGGAGTGGGACAAAATCCCTCCTGAGATGTGTGCAAACCTGGTGGCCAACTACAAGAAACGTCTGACCTCTGTGATTGCCAACAAGGGTTTTGCCACCAAGTACTAAGTCATGTTTTGCAGAGGGGTCATATACTTTTTTCCCTCATTAAAATGCAAATCAATTTATAACATTTTTGACATGCATTTTTCTGGATTTTGTTGTTGTTATTCTGTCTCTCACTGTTCAAATAAACCTACCATTAAAATTATAGACTGATCATGTCTTTGTCAGTGGGCAAACGTACAAAATCAGCAGGGGATCAAATACTTTTTTCCCTCACTGTACGCTACAGTCACAAGACGCAGGCCTTCTTATTGTCCTTAGAGTTTCTAAGCAAACAGCTGGAGGCAGGGCTTTCTCCTATAGAGCTCCATTTACATGGAATGGTCAGCCTATCCATGTGAGAGACGCAGACTCGGTCTCGACCTTTAAGTCTTTACTGACTCATCTCTTCAGTAGGTCCTGTGATTGAGTGTAGTCTGGCCCAGGGGTGCGAAGGTGAACGGCAAGGCACTGGAGCGACAAATCGCCCTTGCTGTCTCTGCCTGGCCGGTTCCCGTCTCTCGATTGGGATTCTCTGCCTCTGACCCTATTACGGGGGCTGAGTCACTGGCTTACTGGTGCTTTCCATGCTGTCCCTAGGAGGGGTGCGTCACTTGAGTGGGTTGAGTCCCTGACGTGATCCTCCTGTCCGGTTTGTCGCCCCCTCGGGCTGTGGAGGAGATCTTCGTGGGCTATACTCAGCCTTGTCTCAGGGTAGTAGGTTGGTGGTCTATTGATATCCCTCTGGTGGTGTGGGGGCTGTGCTTTGGCAAAGTGGGTGGGGTTATATCCTGCCTGGTTGGCCCTGTCCGGGGGTATCATCGGACGGGGCCACAGTGTCTCCAGACCCCCCCACCCGTCTTAGCCTCCAGTATCTATGCTGCAATAGTCTATGTGCCGGGGGGGCTAGGGTCAGTCTGTTATATCTGGTGTTATTCTCCTGTCTTATCCGGTGTCCTGTGTGAATTTAAGTATGCTCCCTCTAATTCTCTCTCTCTCCCTCCCCTCCCGGAGGACCTGAGCCCTAGGACCATGCCTCAGGACTACCTGGCCTGATGACTCCTGGCTGTCCCCAGTCCACCTGGTCGTGCTGCTGCTCCAGTTTCCACTCTTCTGCCTGCGGCTATGGAACCCTGACCTGTTCACCGGACGTGCTACCTTGTCCCAGACCTGCTGTTTTCAACCCTCCCTCTCTACCGCACCTGCTATTTCAACCTCTAAATGCCCGGCTATGAAAAGCCAAGTGACATTTACTCCTGATGTACTGACCTGTTGCACCCTCTATAACCATTGTGATTATTATTTGACCCTGCTGGTCATCTATGAATGGTTGAACATCTTGGGGAGAAAAATCTGGCCTTAATGGCCATGTACTGTTATAATCTCCACACGGCACAGCCAGAAGGGGACTGGCCACCCCTCAGAGCCTGGTTTCTCTCCAGGTTTATTTCTAGGTTTCTGCCTTTCTAGGGAGTTTTTCCAAGCCACTGTGCTTCTACATCTGCATTGCTTGCTGTTTGGGGTTTTAGGCTGGGTTTCGGTATAGCACTTTGTGACATCTGCTGATGTAAAAATGGCTTTATAAATACATTTGATTGATTGATTTTAGTCTTTGCCGTGATTGAGCCTGTAAAGTGGAATATGAGGCTGCCTGTGGGCCCTGGTCAAAAGTAGTACACTATATAGGGAATAGGGTGCCATTTGGGCCGCAGCCCAGATAACGGCCAGGTGTAACAGGGTAAACGTACCTGACAGTAGCCCACAGCCGGGTTGTGGTGTCCGTACGCTAGCAGCACGTTGTACAGGGTTTTCTGGAGACACGGGTTCGACGTCTTGCGGAACTGGACGTTGTCAGGAAAGGTCCTGTTCAAGTCTGCCAGGGAGAAAAGGAAAGAAGGAGGTGCTGTGGTTATAATCACCACCAAAAACAACCTGCTGCCTACTCCAAACATCTCTAACCCTTTCAGCTATTTCTCAAAGCGGAGTACATACAGAGAGAAATATCTCAGAGATGAAGCTCACCTGTTCAGGTGTATATCAGCTAACCTATGATGACGTATATTAGCTAACCTATAATGATGTATATTATCTAACTTATGATCATGTATAGTGTATTCGGAAAATATTCAGACCCCTTGACTTTTTCCACATTGTTACGTTACAGCCTAATTCTAAAATGGATTAAATAAATGTTTTTCTTCATTTTTTTTGCACATTTATAAAAACTAAAACAGAAATACCTTATTTACATAAGTGTTCAGACCCTTTGCTATGAGACTCGAAATTGAGCTCAGGTGTATCCTGTTTCCATTGATCATCCTTGAGATGTTTCTACAACTTGATTGGAGTCCACCTGTGGTAAATTCAATTGACTGGACATGATTTGTAAAGGCACACATCAGTTTATATAAAAAGGTCCCACAGTTGGCAGTGCATGTCAGAGCAAAAACCAAGCCATGAGGTCGAAGGAATTGTCAGTAGAGCTCCGAGACAGGATTGTGTCGGGGCACAGATCTGGGGAAGGGTACCAAAACATTTCTGCAGCATTGAAGGTCCCCAAGAACACAGTGGTCTCCATCATTCTTAAATGGAAGAAGTTTGGAACCTCCAAGACTCTTCCTAGAGCTGAGCAATCGGGGGGAAAAGGGCCTTGGTCAGGGAGGTGACCAAGAACCCGATGGTCACGCTGAAAAAGCTCCAGAGTTCCCCTGTGGAGATGGGAGATCCTTCCAGAAGGACAACCATCTCTGCAGCACTCCACCAATCAGGCCTTTATGGTAGAGTGGCCAGACAGAAGCCACTCCTCAGTAAAAGGCACATGACAGCCCGCTTGGAGTTTGCCAAAAGGCACCTAAAGGACTCTCAGACCATGAGAAACAAGAGTCTCTGGTCTGATGAAACCAAGATTGAACTCTTTGGCCTGAATGCCAAGCGTCACGTCTGGAGGAAACCTGGCACCATCCCTACGGTGAAGCATGGTGCTGGCAGCATCATGCTGTGGCAAAGATGAACAGAGCAAAGTACAGAGAGATCCTTGATGAAAACCTGCTCCAGAGAGCTCAGGACATCAGACTGGGGCGAAGGTTCACCTTCCAACAGGACAACGACCCTAAGCACACAGCCAAGACAACGCAGGAGTGGCTTCAGGACAAGTCTCTGAATGTCCTTGAGTGGCCCAGCCAGAGCACGGACTTGAACCTGATCAAACATCTCTGGAGAGACCTGAAAATAGCTGTGCTGCAACGCTCCCAATCCAACCTGACAGAGCTTGAGAGGATCTGCAGAGAAGAATGGGAGAAACTCCCCAAATACAGGTGTGCCAAGCTTGTAGCGTCATACACAAGAAGACTCGCGGCTATAATCACTGCCAAAGGTGCTTCAACAAAGTACTGGGAAAGGGTCTGAATACTTATGTAAATGTGATATTTCCTGGGGTTCTTTAATTTTATAAATTTGCAAACTTTTTTTTTTTAACGGTTTTTGCTTTGTCATTATGGGGTATTGATGAAGAAAAAAAAACAATTTAATCAATTTTAGAATAAGGCTGTAACGTAACAAAATGTGGAAAAAGTCAAGGGGTCTGAACACTTTCCAAATGCACTGTACATTAGCTAACCCATGATGTATATTAGCTAACCCATGATGATGTCCATTAGCTAACCCATGATGATGTCCATTAGCTAACCTATGATGATGTCCATTAGCTAACCTATGATGATGTCCATTAGCTAACCTATGATGATGTCCATTAGCTAACCCATGATGATGTCCATTAGCTAACCTATGATGATGTCCATTAGCTAACCTATGATGATGTCCATTAGCTAACCCATGATGATGTCCATTAGCTAACCTATGATGATGTCCATTAGCTAACCTATGATGATGTCCATTAGCTCACCTGTGCGTATGGAGTCCACCAGCTTGGGGTCGTGCTGTTGCTTCGTAGTGTCCAGTAGAGAGTGATAGTAGCCTGGGTTCTTCTCCAGGTGCTCCTGGGCCCCGCTGGCTGCCATCCAGGTCAACCCTCGGTGCTCGTTGGGCACGCCCTTACGCACATACCGTTTCACTGTGGGAGTGCTTCATGAGTCAGTGAGTCTCTCTCTCACACACACACACACACACTTTCACACATCCTAGAAGCAGCATGAACAAAAACACTGATTTGACGTGTGCTGTACAGTCAGTGTGCTCCGATCAGGGCCTAACATGAACACCTGCCAAATGTATAAACTGGAAGTGGAAGCCTAAGTATTGTTGTCCATTACTTTACTCCAATTAGGGGAGGGGTGGTAGGGTTAGGGGAAAATAATAAAGAAGGAAAATATATACATATTTAAAATTACATATATATATATATATATATATATATATACACAACAACAAAAACACATATACATACACACACACATATATATATATATATATATATATATAGGGGATTGGAAATGATGCAGACAATTATATTGATAGAAGCCTCAATCTGTAATATTAAAGCTGATAATACTAATAAGAATAAAAAAACAAAAATAACCAACAACAAAAAACACCTGCCAAATGCAGGTAGATTTTGGCATTGGCGGTTAAGACATCTATCAAGTATGATCATATTTATAGTAAAATAAATGCTGCCATAGCTGTTTTCAAAGTATTTCTGCCGTTTTGTTTCACAGCTGGTAAATTAAATCACACAAAGTCAAAGAACTAAGAATCCTATACAGCCTATTCCACCTGAATTTTTAGAAACAGTCATCAAAGTTGGTCTAATTGACTTGAAATGAAAGTCTACTGAAGTGAATCTTTGTCCTTGTGTTTCTTGGCTATGTACATTGTTTTGTTCACAAACTAGGTTTGAGTTTCAACTGCTAGGGAAGAGAAGACAACGCCTCTCCTAGTCAGACTCAATCTCACAGGCACAAACATGACTCTTTGAGTTGCGCTACCACGGTAACCTACCGCCCTTAAAGGAGCAGGTGAACATTTTTGTCTCATCTGTGATATTTTGGTTAAAAGACCCGGGACACAAAAAATGAAGTTAAACAATATACCACATTACTTCTTACGAGTAATACATTTATTGTTTTAGAAACATTACAACGCATGCTCATCTGTTTTTTTGTGGTTTGTTGGTGTCATTTTAGCAGAAAAAAAATATTTTGGCTGGTAAAAAAAATCTACCCGTCACAGTGGCTGGTGGACCAAAAAGTAAATGTTATGCTCTGGCTCCGATTAAGTCCCACTCACCCTTGATACTCTTCTCCAGCCGTCCCCGGCCCTGCAGCAGCTTGGACCACCTGATGGACCTTCTGGTGAGCACGGCCAGGTACTCTGACATCAGCTCCTCATACGACTCATAGTCAAAGTCCTTTGACCGCTCAAAACCATACGGGTCCACACTGAAACAGAGTCAAAGCCATACAGGTCCACACTGAAACAGAGTCAAAGCCATACAGGTCCACACTGAAACAGAGTCACAGCCATTCGGGTCCACACTGAAACAGAGTCACAGCCATTCGGGTCCACACTGAAACAGAGTCACAGCCATTCGGGTCCACACTGAAGACACCACACAGGGTTTACAATAGAGTCAAAGCCAAGCGGGTCCACAGCAATGTTTCAGTTCCAATCAGAGTCTAGCTAGCAGGAGTCAGAAACTAAGTCAATCTAAAGGGGATATTGAGCGACGAGCGTAGTGAGACTGGTGAGTAGTAGTAGTATGTGTGGCAATCTGTTGTTTGGTATGGAATCTGGGCATAGAATGGCCCTTTATAAAGACCAGACACATTCTCCAGTCAGCATGAGTTCCAGGAGTAGACTTAATAAGATCTTAGAGTAATGATATTATGTGGATTAGTGACCTAATGGGATGTTCCCACTAGTTGCTGGGTGATTACTGAACGGTGGTGGAGTAAGACACTATGGAAAGGAAGAGGGGATATTATTATTTAGTATTATTATAGAATGAGAGGCCACCAAGGATATTATAGTAAACTAAAACTAATCATGAAAAAACGATTTAGTAAACTGAAATAAAATTAACAAACCCGTTTGAAAAACTAAAACTATTAGCTTTTACTCCAAAACAAACTAATATAAAATAAAACAATCATCAATTATGTTTTAACTAATATAAATAAAACACTCAACTATAATAACCCTGGGGGCCACAATGTGTAACCTATCATTTAGGACAAGTTACAACCTAAAAAAACAAACATCAGTGAACTTCAACAAAGCTTTGCACTGAAAGGTAAGTAGCCTAGGGCCTAATGTTTTGGTTGAGAACTTTCCGAGCCAGCAATGTTCATCCTAGTCCTTAGTGATCTTCAATCTGGTGACTCAAAACTGTGCAAGCGTTTGTTCCAGCCCAGTACTAACAAACCGGATTCAACTAATCAAACCATTAAGCACGTTGAATCGAGTGTGTTAGAAACGTACTGTGCTGGAACAAACGCCTGCACAGTTTCGAGTCACCAGATTGAAGATCACTATGTTTCAGTGTGCACAACAGTGGAGGAACCCTGGCCATAGCACAACAGTGGAGGAACCCTGGCCATAGCACAACAGTGGAGGAACCCTGACCATAGCACAACACGTGTGACTAGCTATTCAAACGCGTGTAATCTCGATGGTGGGGGACGGGGTGTCGGGTGGAGGTTGTGAGGCAGCCTGGAATAGTGCACATGCCATTACGAAGGACCAACACTCCTCGCATTCTCAACACATCAATTTAGCTAGCTAACTACTGTATGAGGTAGCTTTGCAAAACACAAGTACAACCACCACCTGCCATGCTTTTGTCGTTAGCCAGTTTAACTAGTTAGCGTTGGCCAATTTTGTTTATTTTTACATAACTCTGCCTGAAATAGTATAACTTTTGTGTAACGCTAAGAACATTCAATTCTCAGGTATATGGTGGTAGGGACGGGCGGAAATATGCGAATATTCGTAGCCAGCTAGTTTGTTTAGTTGGCATGTAACTTTTGCTAGCTATAAAGTGTGGCTACCTGTGCACTCTCTCTTTGGCGCTGCTGCCACTGGGAGGAGAGTTGATAGTTGAGTTCAGGCTTCGAAGTTGCGGCGAGCGAACCCAGTTCGCTTTGTTCTTTTTCTTTTCCATGTGTGAACCCAAATATATTCCAGAGATGCCTTGGAAATATGGCCTAAAAGTTTGGTTAATTGCAGCAGGCTATCATGTAGTCCTAAATTTGAAATCTGTGTTGGCACAAGTTGAAACGATATCGCTTCTCTCTCTCCATGAAGCGAGTCCCACAACAGCAAATCCCAGGCGTGGACTCGGATTCCGATCAGGGGACAGTCGGAAAGCGTCACTCGATGTCCCTGACAGTCAAACAACGGGGAGGTGTATTGTCCCACCCTAGGCACTAGCAAGTTCAGCTGGAAGAGGAGGGTAAAGTGTCTCGAGCTTTCATCCTATCTGGAAGAGAGAACCCCGTTTATGCACCTGGATCGTTACTTTGGTGGCTGAAACTGAAGAACAACCGCAATCTGGCAACAACAATGTTAAACGCGATCGGCTGAATCCACAGCGTCTCGAAACATGGTCCATCATTAACAAATATCTTGAAATGTCTATGAATCCGCGGGGTGGGTTCTTTCCACGTATTCCATGGTAGAACACCTGACCGCGCATGAGCTCCGTTAAGCCTCGGGGCACATGTCAATCAAGCATGAGCGGGAAATAGAACCGCCCACTCTAAATATTCTACGCACGTAACTCCAAAACTGTCAGCGATTAAATAATTAACCTATTCAATCATGTATAACCACATATAATTTTCTTAAATTAATCTTCATAATATACTAGGTTTACAAAATGTCCACAATGCCACGTCATGATAACTGAATGGGGAAACCCTTCTGATGCTTACCTTTAGCCACTCCCCCTGACAGGTGATTTTACAGTAGATGACGTCATGCACCACACATGCCATGACAAACTGTGTTTGTGTGTGTATGTGTGTGTGTTTGAGCGTAACCCATCAATAAAAGTGCACGTCCACCTTTTCTTAGCACAAAACTAGTGTGTTTAGGGCTGTTTTTCCTAGCATCAGTGAAATGTGACTAAGGTGTGAACAGTATGAGATATTTTGGTTATTTCCCAAGGTTATGGTCCCTGTCTGTAGCCAAAACACTCGCGGTGAGGGCACATTTAAGGTACGGTGGTAGTAGAACATCTAGCTGGCACACAAACAACCCGTGTGTGTGTGCGCGTGTACGTGTGTGGGTGTACCTGGGGCCTTGGAACATTCCAGAAAAAATTAACCTTGTGGCGTGAACATTTGAAGATAGAAACATTCTCTGCATTGTAAACTTCAATGATACAAGAAGCGGCCAAATATGTCCCTAATCACAGAGATTATTCTAATGACATTAAATGTATGGTGCCTTTGTTCCCCTTAACTTGTTTGCTGTTTGATAAAGACAAAAGTCACGAGCCTTATGGAGCGTATAGATAAACCAAGGTCAGTAGAGCTAACACAAACAGACCAATGAATGAAAGGTAGATTAGAAGAGCACAGGTGTTTCATGTTGATCACAACGTCAACAATACAAGAACTACAAGAGAAGTGATTGAGTTTCTTTAATCTGATAAAGAGCAGAGGTTTGTTTGACTTGGTTGTCATAGTTACAGTTTAAATCCTGATATTATTGCTTCACAATGTTTTCCATGAAAATGCCATTTTAAAGCTTAGGCCTAGCTTAGTCACTGTTACACACCCCTGTTCTGTTTGTCTTTCCACTGTTACAGTACGGACGACACACGCACACACACACACACACACACACACACACACACACACACACACACACACACACACACACACACTACCCCACTTAGAGCATTACACAGCTGCTGAATAACACCATGCCAGGACTGCTGTCTCTGCATCACTACACCCTGAAGCAGAGCGTATGCTACTCCTGCAACGCCACGGCTTTCAGAGGACAGCAAGACATGGGATAGCTAGCATGACCTTGAAGATGGATTGTGTTTCACTGTGATGAGAGAAAGTTCAGAAGGCTTTTATCTTTCACAGAAGACACATAACTGAAGTCTAAGTGAGTGAATGAGTGACTTAGAAATTGAAGGTATCTGTGAATCGGATGACTTTGGGTTTATAGGTCAGTTTCGCAGAAGGATCGCCATAGTTTAACGTCCTGTACTTTGGTCTCTCCTGCTTTTCTGTCTGTAGTCTTTCTGGGTCTGCAACCCTTGAACCGTGCATAGTGATGATGTCATCTTTGTGTGACATCACAGTGCTACCCTGCCCCTCCCCCTCATGACATGTCACCTCCCTTTCCCCACTTTGCAGTGCCATTGGGACATTTACTTCCTGTTTGGCTCCATGTGGGCGGGGCTCCTGGTTGGACGTTGTGGACGCTGATGGCAGGAAGCAAAGGTCAAGATCAGGGGTTGTGGGGACAGAGGTCATAACATCAGGGGTCGTAGATTCAGAAGGTGGGGGTGAGAGGCTGGTGTTATGGGCCTGGCCCATTTCCGATGATTCTGACTCTGAGCCGTGGGCCCTCCTAGGGATGGGGTATCTGGGCTGGCCTCTCTGGGTGGACCGGGGTTGGTGTGGATCCAGGAACTGTTTTCTCCAGGGGTAGGAGAGAAGTGGGCCTTCCAGGGTCCTGGTTTTGGACCCTGACCCTGAGTATTTCTGTGCTGGTGGATCCACAGAGGAAGCTAGGGCCCACACAGGAGGGCAGGGGAGCAGGGTTGCCAGGTACCCAGACAGCAAGGCCTCTACCTCAGGTATCCCTACCTGGAGCGCTGGGGGAGACCACTGGACCACCGCAGCAGAGCAGAGCAGCTCTACCTGCCCATAGCTGAGCTCCTGACCTAAGACCTGTAACTTTAATTCCTGATCTGAAGCCTGTGCCTTGACCTCCTGACCTGAAACCTGTACGTTGACCTCCTGATCTGAAACTGAAACTTCACTGTCTTGATCAGGATCCTGATGTGAAGCTTGTACCACTACTTCCTGACCCACTGAAGCCTTAACTTCAATGTATTGATGCTGAACCGTTAGCTCCTTGTCCAGCTCTGAACCATGGCCTTCTAGTGTTTGACCTGAGCTAACAATCTGTTCTTGGTTTGTACCCTGAATCTCTACCTGTTGTTTCATACCCAGAGTCTTTACCTGTTGATCAGCGCCCCAAACTTCTACCTCCTTAATTGAATCTTGAATCTGACCTTCAGCTTCTTGATCTGAACCCGGACCCCTTGCCTGCTTATTGACTATAGACTGAGCATTCACCTTCTGATTCCTGTTCCACTCTTTTCTGTGTTGAGGTGAATCCTTCAGACCAGCTACTGTCTTCTCTGATCCTCTATCGCCTCCCTGCACTCCAGAGGGGTTCTCTTTCCTCTGCTGTCCCCAGCCTTTACTCTTAACCTGCTGCTTCATTGAACTCTGACCTTTGACGGGTTGACCTGGTTGAGCTAAGCACTGTTGTCCCCCTTCTTCCTGACGACTCACTAATTCTTTCACATGACCACCGGTCACTTTGACTTTACCAGGTGAGCTTTTCTTCAGGCAACTCTTGTCACTTCCCCGTTGCACCGTCGCCATGGTTTCAAACTTGTCCATTATGGCAGACAGCAGCTGCCCCTTGCCGATCAGTCGGGGCCTTTTCAACACTCCTCCCCCCTGTGTGGCCCCTCCCCTCTCCTTCTGCGCTGCCACGGCAAACCTGGCCAGCACATCCTTAACAGTGTTCCCCTTTCCCACTCCACATCCTGTTTTGGGAATGCAGCCCTCAACCTGTCCACTAGGGGGCTCTCTGCCCTGGCTGTGGCTCCCACAGCCTCCCCCTCTGGAGGACAGTGCCAGGGCCCCCACCTCCCGGCGGTGAGTGAGCGGAGGTTTGGGGGTGTTCCTCAGGAACTTGGCCTGGAGGAGCTGGAAGGAGGTGAGGCGCCTTGAGACTTCGCCCCCTGCTGGTCGACCTCCATACCTGCTGAACTGGGGCACCTCCACCCCCACTCCGACCTCCAGCCCTAACCTCTCAGGAGGCCTCGCGGTGGGACTCCGGCTGGGCAGGTCCTGGGTCAGGTAGTGGAGCAGGCTCTCCAGAACCCCTCTGAGCTCCGGGCGGGTCGTCCGGTCCCAAACCAGCCTCCTCAGGGCGCTGGTGTCCACAGTGAGGCCTGATGGCCCTGCATTCGCTGCTCTCTCTGCTCTGTAGGGAAACAGAAGGACCTAGCTTTGTTCTCAGGACAGAACAGGGACCATAGGGATGACGGAAACATCCTGTGATAGGGCTGACTAGCAGACACTGAACTATAACCTCTACCATCTCTGTACTATAACCTCTACCATCTCTGTACTATAACCTCTACCATCTCTGTACTATAACCTCTACCATCTCTGTACTACTATAACCTCTACCATCTCTGTACTATAACCTCTACCATCTCTGTACTATAACCTCTACCATCTCTGTACTATAACCTCTACCATCTCTGTACTACTATAACCTCTACCATCTCTGTACTATAACCTCTACCATCTCTGTACTATAACCTCTACCATCTCTGTACTATAACCTCTACCATCTCTGTACTACTATAACCTCTACCATCTCTGTACCATAACCTCTACCATCTCTGTACTATAACCTCTACCATCTCTGTACTACTATAACCTCTACCATCTCTGTACTATAACCTCTACCATCTCTGTACTACTATAACCTCTACCATCTCTGTACTATAACCTCTACCATCTCTGTACTATAACCTCTACCATCTCTGTACTATAACCTCTACCATCTCTGTACTACTATAACCTCTACCATCTCTGTACTATAACCTCTACCATCTCTGTACTATAACCTCTACCATCTCTGTACTATAACCTCTACCATCTCTGTACTACTATAACCTCTACCATCTCTGTACCATAACCTCTACCATCTCTGTACTATAACCTCTACCATCTCTGTACTACTATAACCTCTACCATCTCTGTACTATAACCTCTACCATCTCTGTACTACTATAACCTCTACCATCTCTGTACTACTATAACCTCTACCATCTCTGTATTACTATAACCTCTACCATCTCTGTACTATAACCTCTACCATCTCTGTACTATAACCTCTACCATCTCTGTACTACTATAACCTCTACCATCTCTGTATTACTATAACCTCTACCATCTCTGTACTATAACCTCTACCATCTCTGTACTATAACCTCTACCATCTCTGTACTACTATAACCTCTACCATCTCTGTACTATTATAACCTCTACCATCTCTGTACTATAACCTCTACCATCTCTGTACTATAACCTCTACCATCTCTGTACTATAACCTCTACCATCTCTGTACTATAACCTCTACCATCTCTGTACTACTATAACCTCTACCATCTCTGTACTACTATAACCTCTACCATCTCTGTACTACTATAACCTCTACCATCTCTGTACTATTATAACCTCTACCATCTCTGTACTACTATAACCTCTACTACTATAACCTCTACCATCTCTGTACTACTATAACCTCTACCATCTCTGTACTATAACCTCTACCATCTCTGTACTATAACCTCTACCATCTCTGTACTATAACCTCTACCATCTCTGTACTATAACCTCTACCATCTCTGTACTATAACCTCTACCATATCTGTACTATAACCTCTACCATCTCTGTACTACTATAACCTCTACCATCTCTGTACTACTATAACCTCTACCATCTCTGTATTACTATAACCTCTACCTCTCTGTACTATAACCTCTACCATCGCTGTACTATAACCTCTACCATCTCTGTACTACTATAACCTCTACCATCTCTGTACTACTATAACCTCTACCATCTCTGTACTATAACCTCTACCATCTCTGTACTATAACCTCTACCATCTCTGTACTATAACCTCTACCATCTCTGTACTACTATAACCTCTACCATCTCTGTACTACTATAACCTCTACCATCTCTGTACTACTATAACCTCTACCATCTCTGTACTATTATAACCTCTACCATCTCTGTACTACTATAACCTCTACACCTCTACCCACTCTGTAACTATAACCTTCTAACCGATCTCTGTAACTACAACCTCTACCAGTCTCCTGGTACTATAACCTCTACCATCTCTGTACTACTAACTATAACCTTCTACCATCTCTGTACTATAAACGCTCTAACCCATCCTGTACTATAACCTCTATACCATCTCTGTACTACTATAACCTCTACCATCTCTGTACTATAACCTCTACCATGGACAATGCATTTTTTATACATGACAGAAGATGAATTCCTTGTTCAGTACATTAGCTACAGCAGCAGATTTAGGGATGATTTAGATTTCCAGTGAGTGTTCTAGCAGTGTACAGCTATAACAGGGACTGTTTAGTTGATCCATAACAGGGACTGTTTAGTTGATCCATAACAGGGACTGTTTAGTTGATCCATAACAGGGACTGTTTAGTTGATCTATAACAGGGACTGTTTAGTTGATCTATAACAGGGACTGTTTAGTTGATCTATAACAGAGACTGTTTAGTTGATCCATAACAGGGACTGTTTAGTTGATCTATAACATGGACTGTTTAGTTGATCCACAACAGGGACTGTTTAGTTGATCCATAACAGGGAATGTTTAGTTGATCTATAACAGGGACTGTTTAGTTGATCCACAACAGGGACTGTTTAGTTGATCCATAACAGGGACTGTTTAGTTGATCTATAACAGGGACTGTTTAGTTGATCCACAACAGGGACTGTTTAGTTGATCTATAAGAGGGACTGTTTAGTTGATCTATAACAGGGACTGTTTAGTTGATCCATAACAGGGACTGTTTAGTTGATCCATAACAGGGACTGTTTAGTTGATTCATAACAAGGACTGTTTAGTTGATCTATAACAGGGACTGTTTAGTTGATCTATAACAGAGACTGTTTAGTTGATCTATAACAGGGACTGTTTAGTTGATCTATAACAGGGACTGTTTAGTTGATCTATAAGAGGGACTGTTTAGTTGATCCATAACAGGGACTGTTTAGTTGATCTATAACAGGGATTGTTTAGTTGATCTATAAGAGGGACTGTTTAGTTGATCTATAACAGGGACTGTTTAGTTGATCCATAACAGGGACTGTTTAGTTGATCCATAACAGGGACTGTTTAGTTGATTCATAACAGGGACTGTTTAGTTGATCTATAACAGGGACTGTTTAGTTGATCTATAACAGAGACTGTTTAATTGATCCATAACAGGGACTGTTTAGTTGATCTATAACAGGGACTGTTTAGTTGATCTATAACAGGGAGGTGGGGGCAAGTAGAGAAGAGAGAGAAACAGACTATTGGTGGTTTCTAGGGTCTTGGTACAGTAAGGTGGCTATGTCCCAATTATCTCTCCTTCCTCCCAAAGTGTGCACTTGTTCACTTCCCTTCACTGATTTGAAAGGAAATGACTGGTATAAGAAATATGGTGGAAAAAATATGGTGGTGGAGTGCACACTTCAGCAGAAAGGAGATATTATTGGGACACATCCCTGGTGTTAGTTTAGGATTGACCTCTGACCTCTACAGCATTATAAAGACAGTAGCAAAGAGAGACGCGGACCTCAGAGGTAATATGTAGTTATCCACTTTAATCTGATAATAACATGATTATTATCATGACAGGCACCATGTCACTCACGGTGAATCCACAGCAGACAATAAACCCAAACATGAGATGAGTGCAAATAACAGACTAAGAGTGGATCCCAAATGGCACCCTAGTGTGCTACCTTTGACCAGGGCCCATAGGGTTCGGGTCAAAAGTAGTGCACTATATAGGGAACATATACTATATGGGGACACAGACTAATAACAAGCCTGTTCTTAAATCACATTTACATGTTATAGGACCGTCTTCTTTGTCCACAATCACGTTTTAAACCAGGACTGGTGTATGTACACTACCGTTCAAAACTTTGGGTTCACTTAGACATTTCCTTGTTTTCGAAAGAAAAGCAATTTTTTTGTCCATTAAAATAACATCAAATTGATCAGAAATACAGTGTAGACATTGTTAATGTTGTAAATGGCTATTGTAGTTGGAAACGGCAGATTTTTTATGGAATATCTACATAGGCGTACAGAGGCCCATTATCAGCAACCATCAGTCCTGTGTTCCAATGGCACGTTATGTTTGCTAATCCAAGTTTATCATTTTAAAAGGCTAATTTTGTAGTTCCTGAGTGGTGCAGTGGTCTAAGGCACTGCATCACAGTGCTAACTGTGCCACTAGAGATCCTGGTTCGAATCCAGGCTCTGTCACAGCCGGCCGTGACCGGGAGACTCATGGGCGGCGCACAATTGGCCCAGCGTCGTCCAGGGTAGGGGAGGGAATGGCCGGCAGGGATGTAGCTCAGTTGATAGAGCATGGTGTTTGCAACACCAGGGTTGTGGGTTCGATTCCCACGGGGGGCCAGTATAAAAAAAATATGTATTCACTAACTGTAAGTCGCTCTGGATAAGAGCGTCTGCTAAATGACTAAAATGTAAATGTCTAATTGATCATTAGAAAATCCTTGTTGTTCTGAGAAATGAAGGCTATTCCATGCGAGAAATTGGCAAGAAACTGAAGATCTCGTACAACGCTGTGTACTACTCCCTTCACAGAACAGCGCAAACTGGCTCTAACCAGAATAGAAAGAGGAGTGGGAGGCCCCGGTGCACAACTGGCAGCTTCCCAGAGTAACCTCTACACTGTTGACATTGAGACTGGTGTTTTGCGGGTACTATTTAATGAAGCTGCCAGTTGAGGACCTGTGAGGCGTCTGTTTCTCAAACTAGACACTCTAATGTATTTGTCCTCTTGTTCAGTTGTGCACCGGGGCCTCCCACTCCTCTTTCTATTCTGGTTAGAGCCAGTTTGCGCTGTTCTGTGAAGGGATTAGTACACAGCGTTGTACGGGATCTTCAGTTTCTTGCCAATTTCTCGCATGGAATAGCCTTCATTTCTCAGAACAAGAATAGACTGACGAGTTTCAGAAGAAAGTTATTTGTTTCTGGCCATTTTGATCCTGTAATCGAACCCACAATTGCTGATGCTCCAGATACTCAACTAGACTCAAGAAGGCCAGTTTTATTGCTTCTTTAATCAGCACAACAGTTTTCAGCTGAGCAAACATAATTGCAAAATGGTTTTCTAATGATCAATTAACCTTTTAAAATTATAAACTTGGATTAGCAAACACAACGTGCCATTGGAACACAGGACTGATGGTTGCTGTTAATGGGCCTCTGTACGCCTATGTAGATATCCCATTAAAAACCAGCCGTTTCCAGCTACAATAGCCATTTACAACAATAACAATGTCTACACTGTATTTCTGATCAATTTGATGTTATTTTAATGGACAAAAAAAATGGCTTTTCTTTCAAAAACAAGGACATTTCTAAGTGAGCCCAAACTGTTGAACGGTAGTGTAGGTAGGTATGTTAGTTAATCCATATTAATCTAAAGAGGAGAGCAGGTGGGCCTCTGGAATCTATGGAATAGTTCCATTCCATATCCAGTTTTGGAGTTCCAATTCTGATTTTGATTCAGTTCCACATTAATTACTTTGTTTTTTATAAACACTTATGGAACTGAAAATAGAATGGAACTATTCCAGAGACCCCAGCAGGAGCAGTTGAGAGAGAGAGAGAGAGGTTACAGGCCGGGCTAGGGGGCTGGGGTGCAGTGTTGTGGGATAGGTTGGTAGCAAAGTAGGCTGGTGGGAGGAGATGTATGAGGACAGGCTTATTGTAATGGCTGGAATGGAATTAATGGAACAGTATCCAGCACATGTATTCCACTTCAGCCATTACAATGAGCCCGTCTTCCTATAGCTCCTCCCATCAGCCTCCACTGGTAGGTAGGTAGGTAGGCAGGTGAGCAGCCAGCAGCCAGCAGCCAGCCATGGAGAAGTCATTCATGTGTAGTTCCTATGTCGGCCAGAAGAGGGCGGTGTGGGCAGGGTGGTGTTGTTACTTCTCTGTGCTCCTCTCTGCAGAGGCTGCCCTGTACAGCTCGGCTCCGAGCTCCTCCAGCCGAGTGCGTCGGTCCACATCCTGGTGCAGCCCTTCAGGGACCTGGGACAGGCCGAACAGGAGACCGTACAGACAGCCTGCTATCAGCCCTGTGGCACTGCTCTCCCCTGGGGGACACAATGAATGGCTCAGAACTGATACTAATGGCAAGCACACACAACACACACAACACACACACAACACACACACACAGCCCACCTCCGTGGAACATGGCGCGGCGGCAGAGCTGGGTCCAGTCGGAGCCTGAGGCCAGGAGAGCATCGTAGGCTATCATGGGAGCGTCATGGCCCCTCCGTCCAGCACGGCCCTCTGAGCTCCAGCGCCTATACACCTGGGGAGAGGAGGACACACCTGGGTTAAATAATTCTACACCTGGGGAGAGGAGGACACACCTGGGTTAAATACTTCTACACCTGAGGAGAGGAGGACACACCTGGGTTAAATACTTCTACACCTGAGGAGAGGACACACCTGGGTTAAATACTTCTACACCTGAGGAGAGGAGGACACACCTGGGTTAAATACTTCTACACCTGAGGAGAGGAGGACACATCTGGGTTAAATACTTCTACACCTGGGAAGAGGAGGACACACCTGGGTTAAATACTTCTACACCTGTGAGGAGAGCACACCTTGGTCAAATACATCTGTCAAATGTCTTTAAATATCCAGTTTGCCAGGTAGAATGGAACCAATGGATGACCTTGTCTGTCTCCTCGGCGTTGTAGGTGTCAGGGAACAGTGGCTTGTTCTGCGCCTCCTGCTCCAGTTCTCTCTCCTCCAGGTAGAACTGCCACTTAGCCTCGAAGTAGAACCACTTCTCCTGGTACTCTGCAGTGGACACAACATATAGTCCCATTTAATCACACACACACACACACACACACACACACACACACACACTCTCACACACACCTGCCATGTGGCGTATGGTCTTCTTACAGTACTCCTCGGCTTTGGGGATGACCTTCATGAGGTCGCGACCCCAGGTCACCAGCGGTTTGCCCTGCACCGCGTACGACGCAAACAGAGCCGTGGTCAGAGAGCCCAGGAAACCTGTTGGAATCAGCCAGGTCAGTATTATGTCACTATAGATGGTGATGCCAGGTAAATCCAGCCTGCTCCCAGATCTGTTGCTGTTGTTTTGCCTATAGAAGTTGGCAAGACACTAACCTCGTCCCCAGGATAATCACTAGAGCAAGACAGCGCAAACAGATGTGGGACCAGGCTAGTTAAATAGCAGGCTATACTATAACGTCTAGGCTATGATTCCTGTAGGGTGGTTGGGTCATGTTGTATGATTCCTGTAGGGTGGTTGTGGGTCATGTTGTATGATTCCTGTAGGGTGGTTGGGTCATGTTGTATGATACCTGTAGGGTGGTTGGGTCATGTTGTATGATTCCTGTAGGGTGGTTGGGTCATGTTGTATGGTTCCTGTAGGGTGGTTGTGGGTCATGTTGTATGATTCCTGTAGGGTGGTTGGGTCATGTTGTATGATTCCTGTAGGGTGGTTGTGGGTCATGTTGTATGATTCCTGTAGGGTGGTTGGGTCATGTTGTATGGTTCCTGTAGGGTGGTTGGGTCATGTTGTATGGTACCTGTAGAGTGGTTGTGGGTCATGTTGTATGGTACCTGTAGGGTGGTTGGGTCATGTTGTATAGTACCTGTAGGGTGGTTGTGGGTCATGTTGTATAGTACCTGTAGGGTGGTTGTGGGTCATGCGTCCCGTCTCAATGCTGACCTCCACTAGGTTGTCCAGCCTCTCAGGCTGCCAGTACTTCATCCCCACACACATGGCCTTGGTGGCAGCTCCATACCCAGAACCTGGTGAGGAACACACACACACACACACACACACACACACACACACACACACACACACACACACACACACACACACACACACACACACACACACACACACACACACACACACACACACACACACACACAGTGAGACACACACACACTGTGAGACACACATACATTGCCTTAGTGGCTGCACCAAACACAGAACCTGCACAAAACCCATCAGGAGAATTGCCACATGGTGAGATACACAGAGAGAGAGACTGCACATGTGCAGGTTGAACTGAACCCTACTAAATCATGTCACCATTAGACCTCACACATCTGTGTGTTGTGACCTCTGACCTTTCTCATTGAAGGGTGTGTGCCAGGCCAGCAGGAAGTTGTTGGGTTTGAGGTGAGCACATCCCTCCACGGTGGCTGGGTCAGGAGGGCGACCCTGGAGAGACGCCATGGCCTCAACATACACCCTGACCAGCTCCCTGTAGAGGTCCTCCAAACACCAGTAGTCTGGAACAACACAGAACACAACACGGTTTACACACAGCATAGTTACCACAACACGGTTTACACACAGCATAGTTACCACACCACAGTTTACACACAGCATAGTTACCACAACACGGTTTAAACACAGTATAGTTACCTCACCACAGTTTACACACAGCATAGTTACCACACCACAGTTTACACACAGCATAGTTACCACAACACGGTTTAAACACAGTATAGTTACCACACCACAGTTTACACACAGCATAGTTACCACACCACAGTTTACACACAGCATAGTTACCACAACACGGTTTAAACACAGTATAGTTACCACACCACAGTTTACACACAGCATAGTTACCACAACACGGTTTACACACAGCATAGTTACCTCACCACAGTTTACACACAGCATAGTTACCACACCACAGTTTACACACAGCATAGTTACCACACCACAGTTTACACACAGCATAGTTACCACAACACAGTTTAAACACAGCATAGTTACCACACCACAGTTTACACACAGCATAGTTACCACACCACAGTTTACACACAGCATAGTTACCACACCACAGTTTACACACAGCATAGTTACCACACCACAGTTTACACACAGCATAGTTACCACAACACGGTTTAAACACAGTATAGTTACCACACCACAGTTTACACACAGCATAGTTACCACAACACAGTTTAAACACAGCATAGTTACCACACCACAGTTTACACACAGCATAGTTACCACACCACAGTTTACACACAGCATAGTTACCACACCACAGTTTACACACAGCATAGTTACCACACCACAGTTTACACACAGCATAGTTACCACACCACAGTTTACACACAGCATAGTTACCACACCACAGTTTACACACAGCATAGTTACCACACCACAGTTTACACACAGCATAGTTACCACACCACAGTTTACACACAGCATAGTTACCAAACCACAGTTTGCACACAGCATAGTTACCACACCACAGTTTACACACAGCATAGTTACCACAACACGGTTTGCACACAGCATAGTTACCACAACACGGTTTGCACACAGCATAGTTACCACACCACAGTTTACACACAGCATAGTTACCACACCACAGTTTACACACAGCATAGTTACCTCACCACAATTTACACACAGCATAGTTACCACAACACGGTTTGCACACAGCATAGTTACCTCACCACAGTTTACACACAGCATAGTTACCACACCACAGTTTACACACAGCATAGTTACCACACCACAGTTTACACACAGCATAGTTACCACACCACAGTTTACACACAGCATAGTTACCACACCACAGTTTACACACAGCATAGTTACCACAACACAGTTTACACACAGCATAGTTACCACACCACAGTTTACACACAGCATAGTTACCTCACCACAGTTTACACACAGCATAGTTACCTCACCACAGTTTACACACAGCATAGTTAATGCAACTGCAAGTCTGGAAGCTTGTCATTAAATACACCTGCAAAGGGCCAACTATTTTACTATTCCAGGTATTCCTTAAAGAGGTAGGGTTTCAAGTGTCTCCGGAAGGTGGTCAGTGACTCCGCTGTCCTGGCGTCGTGGGGAACTTGTTCCACCATTGGGGTGCCAGAGCAGCGAATAGCTTTGACTGGCTGAGCGGGAACTGTGCTTCCGTAGAGGTAGGGGGGCTAGCAGGCCAGAGGTAGAGGTAGGGGGGCCAGCAGGCCAGAGGTGGATGAATGTAGTGACACTAGTGAGGTCTGTAATGTTGTCAACTATGATGTACATGATGCATAAAAACGTTAAAGTTAACCATCCAAAAAATATTTGTGTGCCTGTCCACTCAACCTCTTATACTCACGCCGTCTATCTCGTCGCGCTACAAGACTCTCCGTACACGTCTCACTCTCCACACGAACAGCTCGTAGAGACTCTCGGTCTCCGCTCGATCCTCTCATGCGAGATACGACTAGCCTCTCTCTCTCGTCTCTCCTCTCCTCTCTCTTCCTCTCTCTCCATCCTCTCCTCTCCTCTCCTCTATAAATATATAAACACTCACACAGAGTGGTTGGGAGTCAGACCCTGTCTGTCCGTGGGGGGGCTGTGGCATGTTTGCCATACCAGCCAGATGAGAGTCTATGTTTAGCCTGCTGTGCTGTGCTTAGATTAGACCATGTGTTCTGATGTGGGGGCTCCACACCTGTGTATCATGGGTTGGTGCATATGTTTGTGTGTGTATGTGTGTCATTGGTGTGGAGTGTGTGTGTGTGTCATTGGTGTGTTGTCTGTGTGTGTGTCACCTCTGATTCAGGACTCAGGGTCCAGGCTACACCCTCAGGACAGGGAGGAACCAGACGGGTGTCAGGAAGAGAGGGAGGGGGAGTTCCAATCAGTGGGTGTAAAGAAGTGGAGCGAAGGGGGATTACTGGTGTCAAAGTAACTGAATGAAAATCATTCATTCCATCTTCTCATCCTAGTTTACCAGACAAGACAAGCGGTGTGAATGCCCTTCACTACACTGTCTGCCTCCTAAATAGCACCCTAGTCACTACACTGTCTGCCTCCTAAATAGCACCCTAGTCACTACACTGTCTGCCTCCTAAATAGCACCCTAGTCACTACACTGTCTGCCTCCTAAATAGCCCCCTAGTCACTACACTGTCTGCCTCCTAAATAGCGCCCTAGTCACTACACTGTCTGCCTCCTAAATAGCACCCTAGTCACTACACTGTCTGCCTCCTAAATAGCGCCCTAGTTACTACACTGTCTGCCTCCTAAATAGCGCCCTAGTTACTACACTGTCTGCCTCCTAAATAGCACCCTAGTTACTACACTGTCTGCCTCCTAAATAGCGCCCTAGTTACTACACTGTCTGCCTCCTAAATAGCACCCTAGTTACTACACTGTCTGCCTCCTAAATAGCACCCTAGTCACTACACTGTCTGCCTCCTAAATAGCACCCTAGTCACTACACTGTCTGCCTCCTAAATAGCACCCTAGTCACTACACTGTCTGCCTCCTAAATAGCACCCTAGTCACTACACTGTCTGCCTCCTAAATAGCCCCCTAGTCACAACACTGTCTGCCTCCCAAATGGCACCCTCTTTTATAATGCATTACTTCTGACCAGGTAAAATAAAAAATAAAGGTAAAATACAATAAAAAAAATAGTAGCTACAGTGATGTGATGAGACCTTGTCTCTCTATTGTTCTCTGCCTGAGGACAGACTCATGTTCTATTTTGGACTTATCTGACCTGGCAGCTCCTGGCAGCTCCTGGCAGCTCCAGACATCCAGGCCAGCGGTGGGTTGGTGACATACGTGTTGTCCTGTCAGGCTGCCCAGCGGAGCCTGGTCCCAGATCTGTTTGTGTTGTTTTGCTAACTCCCAGTTGTTTAAAGTACTTAAGTAAAAATACTTGAAAGTACTACTTAAGTAGTTTTTGGGGTATCTGTACTTTACTATTTATATTTTTGACAACTTTTACTTTTACTTCACTACATTCCTAAAGAAAATATGTACTTTTTACTCCATACATTTCCCTTGACACCCAAAAGTACTTGTTACATTTTGAATGCTTAGTAGGACAGGCAAATGGTCTAATTCACACACTTATCAAGAGAACATCCCTGGTCATCCCCACTGCATCCGGACTCACTAAACACACATGCTTAATTTGTAAATTATGTCTGAGTGTTGGAGCATGCCCCTGGCTATCCGTAAATTTAAAAAACAAGAAAATGATGCCGTCTGGTTTGCTTGATATAAGGAATTACTTTTGATACTTAAGTATATTTTAGCAATTACATTTACTTTTGATACTGAAGTATATTTAAAACCAAATACTTTGACTTTTACACAAGTAGTATTTTACTGGGTGACTTTCACTTTTACTTGAGTCATTTTCTATTAAGGTATCTTTACTTTTACTCAAGTATGACAATTGGGTACTTTTTCCACCACTGCTAACTCCTATGGTCTTGCCAATTCCATTGCCATGACCATAGGAGTTGGCAAGACAGCACAAACAGATCTGGGACCAGGCTAGGCTCCTCTGATGAAGAGATGAAGTGTAGATGTGATGACACATGGAGGTGTTTGGGATTACGGCCTGCGCTGAGTCATTTCTAACTGCTATAGGGATTATGGTGTCAGCCAGGCATTGTCCGGAAGAAATATGGCCCATCCAGTGATTAGGAGTTTCCACAGACTAGTCCTAGAGACTTAAAAGACTGCTATTCTCGTCTCTCTGTAAAATCAGACTGGACAGGTGTGTGTGTGTGTTAATGATTGAGGAGATAGTGAGAGGTTTAGGAGAGTGAAGAGAGAGTAAGTGAGTGAATGTGTCAGTGAGAATGAGAGAAACACCAGACTACTGGTGGTCTCACTGTCTCAGAGAGCTCAACTATTTTAGTTCCCTTTACTAGTTTCCCTTTACTAGTTCCCTTTACTAGTTCCCTTTACTAGTTTCCCTTTATTCGTTTCCTTTACTAGTTTCCCTTCACTAGTTTCCTTTACTAGTTCCCTTTACTAGTTTCCCTTTATTAGTTTCCTTCACTAGTTTCCTTTACTAGTTTTCCTTTACTAGTTTCCTTTACTAGGCTAACACAGGCACTGTATCTTAGATGGTCATAAAGTGATAATATCGTTGGAACCAATGAGCAAGTACTATTGATTGGTCAATGTTACTATTTAGTTAGTATCCATCCCTTCTAGCATGGTCAACTAGCACCAACCCCCTATGTCCCCTAACCCCCATGCCCTCCTCCCCATCCACCCTCCTCTAACCTCTGTGGGTGTGTCCTGTCCTCACCTGTGATGAGGGCCTCAGCGGTGGTCATGTGCATCAGGGCTCCGTCGCTGAGGGGCCAGTTGTCTGGGTCCAGTTTCAGAGCCCCCAGGCCTCCCAGAGAGGCCAGCTCTTCCTGGATCTGTGGCCCAGAGGGGCAGCTCTCCCACCGGCCCTTACGGTAGCCCAGGGCGTCCCCCACCCCCGCTAGGACCATACCAGCCTGGAACTTCTCCATGAGGGTTAGGGTTCAAGATGCCGACCAACCCTGACTAAAAGGATGGACTGTGATGTAGGTTTCAATAGGAAGAGTAGTTCAGTTATGTCCTTCTCTATAACGACTGACTGACGCAGCTACAGAGAACACAGGCTCCAGGTAGACAGAGTCTCTCAGAAACAGTCGGACTCCCAAGATACTATAGTCCTCTTCTGTCAGCCTAAGATAGTGTTCCACTGGTTAAACAGACAGCGCTTCTAGAGCTCCTCCTCAGCCTGCTGCCCAACGTCCGTCCGGTCCACCTACTATCCTCAGGGGACCTGTAACACTCTCTGATGCTGTCACACACGCTCTGGTCTGGTAATCTAGCGGTCTAATAGTGTGTCCCTCTTAAACTGGATGGGGACGTGCCGTGGTTGGATCTCTCTTTTGAACTGTGAACGGTAGCAGTCCAGTTCAGTCCCCACCCCCATAGCTCTCGCGCTCTCTCTCGCGCTCTCTCTGTCATCTATCAGCCTAATCACCAGTCACTCTCTCTCGCTCACTCTAACACACACACACACACACACACACACACACACACACACAAGGACACACAGGGACACACACACATCTTTATCAGCAGCCTCTGTGTGTGTAGCGATCAGGTGTCTCCTAAAAAGGCAATACCCTCATCCCCAGAAGTCCAGGGCTACAGCCAGGGCTGGAGGGTTAGAGGGCTGGAGGGTTAGAGGACTGGAGGAAGAGAGGGCTGGAGGGTTAGAGGGCTGGAGGAGAAGAGGGCTGGAGGGTTAGAGGACTGGAGGAAGAGAGGGCTGGAGGGTTAGAGGGCTGGAGGAGAAGAGGGCTGGAGGGTTAGAGGACTGGAGGAAGAGAGGGCTGGAGGGTTAGAGGACTGGAGGAAGAGAGGGCTGGAGGGTTAGAGGGCTGGAGGAGGGGAGGGCTGGAGGGTTAGAGGGCTGGAGGGTTAGAGGACTGGAGGAAGAGAGGGCTGGAGGGTTAGAGGGCTGGAGGAAGAGAGGGCTGGAGGAAGAGAGGGCTGGAGGAGGGGAGGGCTGGAGGAGGGGGGGGTGGAGGGTTAGAGGGCTGGAGGAGGGGAGGGCTGGAGGGTTAGAGGGGGGGATGGCTGGAGGGTTAGAGGACTGGAGGAAGAGAGGGCTGGAGGGTTAGAGGACTGGAGGAAGAGAGGGCTGGAGGGTTACAGGGCTGGAGGAGGGGGGGCTGGAGGGTTAGATGGCTGGAGGAGGGGAGGGCTGGAGGGCTGGAGGGTTAGAGGGCTGGAGGAGGGGATGGCTGGAGGGTTAGAGGACTGGAGGAAGAGAGGGCTGGAGGGTTAGAGGACTGGAGGAAGAGAGGGCTGGAGGGTTACAGGGCTGGAGGAGGGGGGGGGGCTGGAGGGTTAGATGGCTGGAGGAGGGGAGGGCTGGAGGAGGGAGGGCTGGAGGGTTAGAGGACTGGAGGAAGAGAGGGCTGGAGGGTTAGAGGGCTGGAGGAAGAGAGGGCTGGAGGGTTAGAGGACTGGAGGAAGAGAGGGCTGGAGGGTTAGAAGGCTGGAGGAAGAGAGGGCTGGAGGGTTAGAGGACTGGAGGAGGTAGGGCTGGAGGTTAAAGGGCTGGAGGAGGGGAGGGCTGGAGGTTAGAGGGCTGGAGGAGGGGAGGGCTGGAGGAGGGAGGGCTGGAGGTTAGAGGGCTGGAGGGGGGAGGGCTGGAGGGTTAGAGGGCTGGAGGAGGGGATGGCTGGAGGGTTAGAGGGCTGGAGGATTGAGGGCTGGAGGGTTAGAGGGCTGGAGGAGGTGAGGGCTGGAGGGTTAGAGGGCTGGAGGAGGGGAGGGCTGGAGGAGGGGAGGGCTGGAGGAAGGGAGGGCTGGAGGAGGGGAGGGCTGGAGGGTTAGAGGACTGGAGGAAGAGAGGGCTGGAGGGCTAGAGGGCTGGAGGAAGAGAGGGCTGGAGGATGAGAGGGCTGGAGGAAGAGAGGACTGGAGGAAGAGAGGGCTGGAGGAAGAGAGGGCTGGAGGAAGAGAGGGCTGGAGGGTTAGAGGGCTGGAGGAGGGAGGGCTGGAGGTTAGAGGGCTAGAGGAGGGGAGGGGAGGGCTGGAGGGTTAGAGGGCTGGAGGAGGGGAGGGCTGGAGGGTTAGAGGGCTGGAGGAAGGGATGGCTGGAGGGTTTAGAGGGCTGGAGGAGGGGAGGGCTGGAGGGTTAGAGGGCTGGGAGGGTTAGAGGGCTGGAGGGTTAGAGGGCTGGAGGGTTAGAGGGCTGGAGGGTTAGAGGACTGGAGGGTTAGAGGGCTGGAGGAAGGGAGGGCTGGGGAGGGGAGGGCTGGGGAGGGAGGGCTGGAGGAGGGAGGGCTGGAGGGTTAGAGGGATGGGGGAGGGGGAGGGCTGGAGGAGGGAGGGCTGGAGGGTTAGAGGGCTGGGGGAGGGGAGGGCTGGAGGGTTAGAGGGCTGGAGGAGGGGAGGGCTGGAGGGTTAGAGGGCTGGAGGAGGGGAGGGCTGGAGGGTTAGAGGGCTGGGGGAGGGGAGGGTTAGAGGAGGGGAGGGCTGGAGGGTTAGAGGAGGGGAGGAAAGGGCTGGAGGGATAGAGGGCTGGAGGAGGGGAGGGCTGGAGGGTTAGAGGGCTGGAGGAGGGGAGGGCTGGAGGGTTAGAGGAGGGTAGGAGAGGGCTGGAGGGATAGAGGGCTGGAGGAGGGGAGGGCTGGAGGGTTAGAGGGCTGGAGGAGGGTGAGGGCTGGAGGGTTAGAGGAGGGGAGGAGAGGGCTGGAGGGTTAGAGGGCTGGAGGAGGGAGGGCTGGAGGGTTAGAGGAGGGGAGGAGGGGAGGGCTGGAGGGTTAGAGGGCTGGAGGAGGGGAGGGCTGGAGGGTTAGATGGCTGGAGGAGGGAGGGCTGGAGGTTAGGAGGTGGGGAGGGTAGGAGGGTTAGAGGGCTGGAGGGTTAGATTAGAGGGCTGGATGGTTAGAGAGCTGGGGGAATGGAGGTTAGGAGGTGGGGAGGGTAGGAGGGTTAGAGGGCTGGATGGTGGGGAGACTTTGGCTTGCCTCAAGAACAATTACTGTGTGCCAGAACAGCCGACAAAACCCTCACCGAAGTCCAAAACAAACAAAAACGAACAAAATGTTGTCATAATATATGCACGAACTCTACTGAACTGTTTCGGCTGGGAAGCATGCGGACACCTTTAGAGGGCTGGAAGAGGGGAGGGCTGGAAGGTTAGAGGGCAGTGGGGGATGGAGGTTAGGCTCTGTGTCAGCTGGACCAGTAGGCCTAGTGTCGAGACCCCTTCCCTCCCTCCCCACTGGGGCATGATAAGAATGGAGTGTTAACCAGCCCCCCTCCCTTGTTACCTCTCATCACCCCTAAACCCTCTCTCATTCTCACCCACCAACAACAACCCCCCCCTCCCTCATCCTTAACCTTTGCACCTAGACTCTTCCTAAAAGCTCACAGACGCCATAATGGGACAGAGACAACGTTGTGATGTCTTTACGTCTCTACAGTGGGGAAAAAATTTATTTAGTCAGCCACCAATTGTGCAAGTTCTCCCACTTAAAAAGATGAGAGAGGCCTGTAATTTTCATCATAGGTACACGTCAACTAAGACAGACAAGTTGAGGAAAAAAATTCCAGAAAATCACATTGTAGGATTTTTAATGAATTTATTTGCAAATTATGGTGGAAAATAAGTATTTGGTCACCTACAAACAAGCAAGATTTCTGGCTCTCACAGACCTGTAACTTATTCTTTAAGAGGCTCCTCTGTCCTCCACTCGTTACCTGTATTAATGGCACCTGTTTGAACTTGTTATCAGTATAAAAGACACCTGTCCACAACCTCAAACAGTCACACTCCAAACTCCACTATGGCCAAGACCAAAGAGCTGTCAAAGGACACCAGAAACAAAATTGTAGACCTGCACCAGGCTGGGAAGACTGAATCTGCAATAGGTAAGCAGCTTGGTTTGAAGAAATCAACTGTGGGAGTAATTATTATGAAATGGAAGACATACAAGACCACTGATAATCTCCCTCGATCTGGGGCTCCACGCAAGATCTCACCCCGTGGGGTCAAAATGATCACAAGAACAGTGAGCAAAAATCCCAGAACCACACAGGGGGACCTAGTGAATGACCTGCAGAGAGCTGGGACCAAAGTAACAAAGCCTACCATCAGTAACACACTACGCCGCCAGGGACTCAAATCCTGCAGTGCCAGACGTGTCCCCCTGCTTAAGCCAGTACATGTCCAGGCCCGTCTGAAGTTTGCTAGAGTGCATTTGGATGATCCAGAAGAGGATTGGGAGAATGTCAGATGAAACCAAAATAGAACTTTTTGGTAAAAACTCAACTCGTCGTGTTTGGAGGACAAAGAATGCTGAGTTGCATCCAAAGAACACCATACCTACTGTGAAGCATGGGGGTGGAAACATCATGCTTTGGGATGTTTTTCTGCAAAGGGACCAGGACGACTGATCCGTGTAAAGGAAAGAATGAATGGGGCCATGTATCGTGAGATTTTGAGTGAAAACCTCCTTCCATCAGCAAGGGCATTGAAGATGAAGCGTGGCTGGGTCTTTCAGCATGACAATGATCCCAAACACACTGCCCGGGCAACGAAGGAGTGGCTTCGTAAGAAGCATTTCAAGGTCCTGGAGTGGCCTAGCCAGTCTCCAGATCTCAACCCCATAGAAAATCTTTGGAGGGAGTTGAAAGTCTGTGTTGCCCAGCGACAGCCCCAAAACATCACTGCTCTAGAGGAGATCTGCATGGAGGAATCGGCCAAAATACCAGCAACAGTGTGTGAAAACCTTATGAAGACTTACAGAAAACGTTTGACCTGTGTCATTGCCAACAAAGGGTATATAACAAAGTATTGAGAAACTTTTGTTATTGACCAAATACTTATTTTCCACCATAATTTGCAAATAAATTCATAAAAAAATCTTACAATGTGATTTTCTGGATTTATTTTTCTAATTTTGTCTATCATAGTTGACGTGTACCTATGATGAAAATTACAGGCCTCTCTCATCTTTTTAAGTGGGAGAACTTGCACAATTGGTGGTTGACTAAATACTTTTTTTCCCCACTGTATGTGTGGGGCAAAAAAAAACCTTGAACAAAACAGATGGATACAAAGTCTCTCATTCCATTTGGTTAAAAACAACATGCTTTATTGACGTGACCTTCCTTTGCCAAAACAAAGTATTGTATAATGTCTCCACAGCAGAAAGTTCACAAATGTTTTAAATCATTTTTATTTTCTCTCAGTGGAAAAAATACTGACGTGATGAGCTGAATATGACTAACGCACAGACAGTCAACACACTGGACAGCTCTCTCAGCGCGTACCTTAGTGTACCGCGTTCGTTGTGTAGGAAGTTCAGAGGAGAAACTCTTCCATAGTCTCAGTCTTCTCCTGTCATTACATGTCACCGTTGAACAGAATATGTTTTTATTACTTTCCCCAGATTTGAGTGCAATTGTCTAAGAACACGTGGCATAACTAGCATAACTTAGACATGCGTCCCAAATGGCACCCTATTCCCTACATAGTGCACAACTTTAGGGTGCCATTTGGGACAAAGCCGAGGTGCAGCCCAAAATCTCAGGAACATTTCCAGAGAATGAAGGGGAACTATTACCTGCAGCCTGCTGTGTCAGGGGATACGTCTGTTACTGAGATGTTCTGTGTGTGTGTGTGTGTGTGTGTGTGTGTGTGTGTGTGTGTGTGTGTGTGTGTGTGTGTGTCTGAGAGAAGTAGCTAGTAGACATGGGTCTCAGTCTGGTCTGATGACACACTGTAACCTTCACTTCACTGGGCTGGCTAGCAGTGACTCATGATGACCAACCAAAACAATACTAACAACTGAAACAGTTTAAAAACTATGTACAGTGCTGCAGACTGAATATGATCCATAGATTCAACTATGAACGATGTACAGTGCTGCAGACTGAATATGATCCATAGATTCAACTATGAACGATGTACAGTGCTGCAGACTGAATATGATCCATAGATTCAACTATGAACGATGTACAGTGCTGCAGACTGAATATGATCCATAGATTCAACTATGAACGATGTACAGTGCTGCAGACTGAATATGATCCATAGATTCAACTATGAACGATGTACAATGCTGCAGACTGAATATGATCCATAAATTCAACTTGTTGTGTGCTGCTTCGGAAAATAAAAGAACTAACTTGTTGGAAAAGAGAAGTTAGCCCCTGGATGAGGATATGATAGACCAACAGTCAAGGAGCCGGTCTCTGGTGATGTGAACAGTTACACCCCAAAACAAACTAACTAAAATCAGACAGAAAGCTCTGAGACAATGTGCGTCCCAAATGGTAAACCTGTTCCCTATATAGTGCACTACTTTTGACCAGTACTATATAGGAAATAGGGTGCCATTTGGGACACAGCCTAGAAATCTGAGGACCTCGTACGCTTTTCAAATACCTCTTCCTCCATCTCATGATTATAAATGTCATCATGTCTTCTTTATATCATATTCATTATTCTAAAATTCTAGATCTATACATGAATACTATGGATACAGTATGTTCCAACTGTAGCTATAGTGTTTCTGCTGGTGTTGAGCTCTAAAAGCATGCTGCTCTGTCGGTCGGTCGGTCCGTCCAGTTCTATCTGAATACCACAGTGGATCTGAACTGGGCCTGTATTCATGAAGCGTCTCAGAGTAGTCGTGCTGATCTGGGATCAGGTCCTCCCTGTTCATGTAATCTTACTCATTATGATCTAAAAGGCTAAACGGATCCTAGATCAGCACTCCTACTCTGAGACTCTTTATGGACACAGGCCCTGAACCTCACATAATAACAAGAAAAGTGACAGAACTTTTACATGTTAGATTGAAATGGAAGCAGAACGTTACACTGACGTTGGATTGGATGAGAACATTGGATGATGACCACACCCCTCACCTCTGATTAGATGAGAAGAAGCTCAATGATAATAATAAAAACGTCGTAGTTCTTCTTCCGTCCACGCTGCCGCTTAATGCTCAACTAGAAAAACATGCAGAACCTCTAAGTGTCCTAGTTCATCCACCATGGGCCGGCAGAGAGGACACGTCTTACTACTGTGAGATCAGATCACAGGAGGCTGGTGGCACCTTCATTGGGGAGGACGGGCTCGTGGCAATGCTGGAGCAGAATCAGTGGAATGGTTGAAATACATCAAACACATGGTTTGATGCCATTCCATTCACTCTGTTCCAGCCATTATTATGATCCGTCCTCCCCTCGGCAGCCTCCACTGGATCAAATATCACACCCTTCTGTCTGCGTCTGCTGCAGAGAGCAAACCTTCCGTCTCTCTCTGCTGTTCTGTTTGCTCTCCCTGGTCGTTCTTTAGTAAGGAGGGGGCGGGGCCGGGGGGCTACAGGTAGGGGGGTGGGGCCAGAGCACCAGTTCTAGAATCTATAGACAAGCCCACTGATCTGATGGTGGCTGGTGTGGTGTACGGGTACTGTAGTCCCTGGCCGCTCAGTCTGATCCAGCCAGCCAATAGGAGCAGAGCTCATAGCTCCGCCCACAGATCCCACCCCCCGCTGACAGCCCGCCTCCCGTAGTGACTCAGTCCCAAAAACAAAGAAAAAGATAACTCCTCTTCCTGTTGTTTTCCTTCTCTCTGATTGGCTGTCTGTCGCTCCCCGGCCCCTGATTGGCAGCTAAGTCTCACAACCTTGGACAGTCTTGTAGAAGTCTCTTTTTGGCTCGTGTGTATAAAAATCCTCAGCCCCTGCTGGGAACTGGGTATGGCCTATATGGTTTTACGCTTGCCCCCTGTCACGATTGGCCGGGCAAATTCCACAAAGTCATCTATGAGGACAGGCCAAGCTCCTGAGTGGACAGAAAAGGGTCACATGATTAGCTGCATGGTTAGTGATTGGCAGAAATATTTTGATAGTGATTGAGCTGCGTGGTAGTAGGTAGAAGTCAAGTCCCAATCCCCAACTGCTGACTCCAGGTCAGATCTTAGTCATACTCCTAGTGGTTATGGTTGGATTGGGGGTAGAGGAATCTGATCCTGGATCTAAGCTTAGGGTGGGCAGGGTGTGGGCCAGTGTATGTTTTATTGGTCCTACAGAAATCTTTGGCTGCATTTCAAATGTCACCCTAATCCGTATATAGTGCACTATGGGCCTGGTCAAAAGTAGTGCACAGGAAAAGGGTGCCATTTGGGACCCATTCATAATAGGTGGTTATATCTCACCTTCCTCGTCGTAGTTGGACATGTCGTCTGCGATCATGTTGCCAAAGTCCAGTAGGAGGTTCCACGTGTCTTTGGGGATCGACCGCTTATGATGCTCCTGCATTAATCACACAGATAGATGACATCATCAGAGATTATGATGCTCCTGCATTAATCACACAGATAGATGACATCATCAGAGATTATGATGCTCCTGCATTAATCACACAGATAGATGACATCATCAGAGATTATGATGCTCCTGCATTAATCACACAGATAGATGACATCATCAGAGATTATGATGCTCCTGCATTAATCACACAGATAGATGACATCATCAGAGATTATGATGCTCCTGCATTAATCACACAGATAGATGACATCATCAGAGATTATGATTCTCCTGCATTAATCACACAGATAGATGACATCATCAGAGATTATGATGCTCCTGCATTAATCACACAGATAGATGACATCATCAGAGATTATGACGCACCTGCATTAATCACACAGATAGATGACATCATCAGAGACTATCAATACATGAATGAAACACCTAGGTCCAAAGTAGTTATTATTTAGGAAATAGCCATTAATACACACTTGCATCGGCTCCACTCACCAATAGAAACCTGTTCCAGAGGTCCAGGAACTTGAATCGACCTGTTAGAACCAGGTTCCAGTAGGCTACAGCCATCTCCAGGTCTGACACAGAGAGCAGAGGGGTTAATTACATCATCAGTAGACTACAGCCATCTCCAGGTCTGACACAGAGAGCAGAGGGGTTAATAACATCATCAGTAGACTACAGCCATCTCCAGGTCTGACACAGAGAGCAGAGGGGTTAATTACATCATCAGTAGACTACAGCCATCTCCAGGTCTGACACAGAGAGCAGAGGGGTTAATTACATCATCAGTAGACTACAGCCATCTCCAGGTCTGACACAGAGAGCAGAGGGGTTAATAACATCATCAGTAGACTACAGCCATCTCCAGGTCTGACACAGAGAGCAGAGGGGTTAATAACATCATCAGTAGACTACAGCCATCTCCAGGTCTGACACAGAGAGCAGAGGGGTTAATTACATCATCAGTAGACTACAGCCATCTCCAGGTCTGACACAGAGAGCAGAGGGGTTAATAACATCATCAGTAGACTACAGCCATCTCCAGGTCTGACACAGAGAGCAGAGGGGTTAATAACATCATCAGTAGACTACAGCCATCTCCAGGTCTGACACAGAGAGCAGAGGGGTTAATTACATCATCAGTAGACTACAGCCATCTCCAGGTCTGACACAGAGAGCAGAGGGGTTAATTACATCATCAGTAGACTACAGCCATCTCCAGGTCTGACACAGAGAGCAGAGGGGTTAATTACATCATCAGTAGACTACAGCCATCTCCAGGTCTGACACAGAGAGCAGAGGGGTTAATAACATAATCAGTAGACTACAGCCATCTCCAGGTCTGACACAGAGAGCAGAGGGGTTAATAACATCATCAGTAGACTACAGCCATCTCCAGGTCTGACACAGAGAGCAGAGGGGTTAATAACATCATCAGTAGACTACAGCCATCTCCAGGTCTGACACAGAGAGCAGAGGGGTTCATAACATCATCATCAATGGGCATGGCAAGTTGGCTACAACAACAACAGTACTTATTTAGCATTTCAGTCAAACACACAGGACATGATGTATTTCTGTGTTTCCATAGAGTCTGAATAGTTTGATAACATAACTGCTGACTGCTGGAGTTAGTGTGTGAGTGAGAGAGAGACAGAGAAAGAGATTGAGGGGGTGGCATCTAGTGGCCGGGACAATACCAGTCTCCTCATAGTCGTTAGTATCGTGGCAAGGAAATAAAACAGGAAGCGGATTTCACTTCTTCAGGAAAACAGCCCAAACGGATGTTGTCATCCAGTCACGTCTTTATATTCCAAGCTATAGAACACAATATCTTACATACAGCAGGTTTTTAAAGGACCAAAGAGTTTAGTCTGCTTCCTGTTTTCATTTTAGCCATGGAAAATATTGCCATACTGGTATCGTCACAGCCCTAGTGACATTACAGTGTCAGGCAGAGAGAGGCATCACAGCCCTAGTGACATTACAGTGTCAGGCAGAGAGTTACAGAGAGAGGCATCACAGCCCTAGTGACATTACAGTGTCAGGCAGAGAGTTACAGAGAGAGAGAGGCATCACAGCCCTAGTGACATTACAGTGTCAGGCAGAGAGTTACAGAGAGAGAGAGGCATCACAGCCCTAGTGACATTACAGTGTCAGGCAGAGAGTTACAGAGAGAGAGAGGCATCACAGCCCTAGTGACATTACAGTGTCAGGCAGAGAGTTACAGAGAGAGAGAGGCATCACAGCCCTAGTGACATTACAGTGTCAGACAGAGAGTTACAGAGAGAGAGAGAGAGGCATCACAGCCCTAGTGACATTACAGTGTCAGGCAGAGAGTTACAGAGAGAGAGAGGCATCACAGCCCTAGTGACATTACAGTGTCAGGCAGAGAGTTACAGAGAGAGAGAGAGAGGCATCACAGCCCTAGTGACATTACAGTGTCAGGCAGAGAGTTACAGAGAGAGAGGCATCACAGCCCTAGTGACATTACAGTGTCAGGCAGAGAGTTACAGAGAGAGAGAGGCATCACAGCCCTAGTGACATTACAGTGTCAGGCAGAGAGTTACAGAGAGAGAGAGGCATCACAGCCCTAGTGACATTACAGTGTCAGACAGAGAGTTACAGAGAGAGAGAGAGAGGCATCACAGCCATAGTGACATACAGTGTCAGCAGAGAGTTACAGAGAGAGAGAGGCATCACAGCCCTAGTGACATTACAGTGTCAGGCAGAGAGTTACAGAGAGAGAGAGAGAGGCATCACAGCCCTAGTGACATTACAGTGTCAGACAGAGAGTTACAGAGAGAGAGAGGCATCACAGCCCTAGTGACATTACAGTGTCAGACAGAGAGTTACAGAGAGAGAGAGGCATCACAGCCCTAGTGACATTACAGTGTCAGACAGAGAGTTACAGAGAGAGAGAGGCATCACAGCCCTAGTGACCATTACAGTGTCAGACAGAGAGTTACAGAGAGAGAGAGGCATCACAGCCCTAGTGACATTACAGTGTCAGACAGAGAGTTACAGAGAGAGAGGCATCACAGCCCTAGTGACATTACAGTGTCAGACAGAGAGTTACAGAGAGAGAGAGGCATCACAGCCCTAGTGACATTACAGTGTCAGACAGAGAGTTACAGAGAGAGAGAGGCATCACAGCCCTAGTGACATTACAGTGTCAGACAGAGAGTTACAGAGAGAGAGAGGCATCACAGCCCTAGTGACATTACAGTGTCAGACAGAGAGTTACAGAGAGAGAGGCATCACAGCCCTAGTGACATTACAGTGTCAGACAGAGAGTTACAGAGAGAGAGAGGCATCACAGCCCTAGTGACATTACAGTGTCAGACAGAGAGTTACAGAAGAGAGAGTGGCATCACAGCCCTAGTGACATTACAGTGTCAGACAGAGAGTTACAGAGAGAGAGGCATCACAGCCCTAGTGACATTACAGTGTCAGGCAGAGAGTTACAGAGAGAGAGGCATCACAGCCCTAGTGACATTACAGTGTCAGACAGAGTTACAGAGAGAGGCATCACAGCCCTAGTGACATTACGTGTCAGCAGAGAGTTACAGAGAGAGGCATCACAGCCCTAGTGACATTACAGTGTCAGACAGAGAGTTTACAGAGAGAGAGAGGCATCACAGCCCTAGTGACATTACAGTGTCGACAGAGAGTTACAGAGAGAGAGAGGCCCTCACAGCCCTAGTGACATTACGTTGTCAGACAGAGAGTACAGAGAGAGGCATCACAGCCTGAGTGACATTACAGTGTCAGGCAGAGAGTTACAGAGAGAGGAGGCATCAAAGCCCTAGTGACTACAGTGTCAGACAGAGATTACAGAGAGAGAGAGGCATCACAGCCCTAGTGACATTACAGTGTCAGGCAGAGAGTTACAGAGAGAGAGAGGCATCACAGCCCTAGTGACATTACAGTGTCAGACAGAGAGTTACAGAGAGAGAGGCATCACAGCCCTAGTGACATTACAGTGTCAGACAGAGAGTTACAGAGAGAGAGAGGCATTACAGTCAGTTGAGTTTTGACAATGGGCGCTACTGTTGTTCCAGGAACTTAGCTGGGTCACCCACTCTGGTCGTCATAACAACACAGAACAGACCAGCAGGAACAACAACCAGAACAAAGTTGTCCCATCCAGGGAATCCCCTGGGTTGAGTATCAAATGGTACCCTATAACCTAAATAGTGCCCTACTGGGCCCATAGGGCTCCGGTCAAAAGTAGTGACTATATAGGGAATGGGCTTCCATTTGAGACGCACCCTGATCTCTGTTTAGCGTGATAGGTGATCTATCTGTAAACCTGTTATTACACAGTAACAACACACTAGCTATCAGACTCAAGGCCCTCTCCTCAGCAGGGTTCATAGAGCAGTAGTAGCCAAACTAGAGGCTGTGTTGTGAAGGGGGAGCTCTTTACTTACCTGATAGGAAAATTCATAGTTTTCCATCTGAAACCCATTCCTCCCTTTGGTGCCTGGTTGGTACTGACTGAGACAGAACTACATTACACTGCTGATGCCAAACCACCATAGCTGTCTACCAATGTTCCCACGGAGGAATTCAACGCCAGGGTTAGGAAAACTACACCAGGGTGAAAACCCTTCTCCTCAAACACAGTGCTGGACCAACCAGGGTTTGCCTAAACCTCTCCATCTGGATACAATATTTACCAAAACCTATTTTTCCCCACTTTCAGAGCATTTTTCAAGAAAGCTATGGAAAATGCCTACCTAGTCCCTTCTGTCCGGGGTTCTTGGCGAAGTTGAAGGTGAACTGGTAGAAGTCTTTAAACTTGGCCGTGTCTTTGAGTTCCTGTTCTAGTCTGGGGAGCAGAGCCTTCAGCTTCTCTGGACTGTCACAGCTAGGAGGACACACACACACACACACACACACACACACACAGGAGCCTTCTTATTGGACAAGTCCAGCTAGTACCTGCCTGACCTCCGTTTCAAAATGTTTAGTTGTTCAATAACACTTGCTTTCATTTTCCATTTCAAAACGTTTTCTCAAAAATGGTTCCTACTGAACAGTGAACACAACTGCGTGGCGCAGAAAGATGACATCACAGGAAGCTAGCTCACCCCAGCTCGGCCATGCCGTCGAGGAACTCCTTCCTGCTGAACTCACACTGCGTGGCGGCACGGAACTTCCAGGCCACCACCAGAACACTCCTACTGGCCGGGTCCAGGGTGAGGTCATCACAGAACTGCTGGATCCCGTCGATACCGATCTTATTCTCATCCTGGGGGTCTGGAGAGGAACACAACAACAATAATTAAATAGGACTACAACTCAGAGCTGATACATTACACTGATACAATACACACACTTCATTAAATGTTTCCTTCATTCTTCATATACACCCACCAGCCACCCATGGAGCACAGTACACACCTAATCCTAACACACACACACCTCTCCACCTCCCCTCCCCTCTTCCTCTCACCACTACACCCCCTCTCCTCCTCTCCCATCCCTTCTCCCCACTACAACCCCTCTCCTCCCTCCCATCCCCTTTTCCCCACTACACCCCCTCTCCCCTCCCCTCTTCCTCTCACCACTACACCCCATCTCCTCCTCTCACCCACCCCTCCTCACATAACCCTCTCCTCTCTCCCTCCCCTCTCCTCCTCTCACCACTACACCCCCTCCCACCACCCCTCTCCTCTCACCACTACAACCCCCTCTCCTCCTCTCACACACACGCACCACCCCCCTCTCCTCCTCTCACCACTACACCCCCCTCTCCTCTCCTCTCACCACTACACACCCCCCTCTCCATCCTCCCCTCTCCCCCTCACCCTACCAACACCCCCCTCTCCTCCTCTCACCACTACACCCCCCCCCCTACCACCCCTCCCTCCTCTCCCTCCCACACCCCCCTCTCCCATCCCCTCTCCTCTCACCACTACACCCCCTCTCCTCCTCTCACCACTACAACCCCCTCTCCCATCCCCTCTCCCACCCTACCAACACCCTCCTCCCCCTCCTCACCCATCCCCTCCCCCTCTCACCACTACACACAAACCCCCCCTCTCCTCCCTCTCACCCACTACCCCCCCTCTCCTCCTCTCACCACTACACCCCTCTCCCTCCCCTCACCACTCAACCCCTACCCCCCTCTCACCCCTCCCCCTCACCACTACAACACCCCCTCTCCTCCTCTCACCACTAACCCACCCCCTCCCCTCCCATCCCCCTCTCCCCCCTCACCACTACACCCCCGTCCTCCTCCTCTCACCACTACACTACCCCCCCCCTCCTCTCCTCCCCTCTCACCACTACAACCCTCCCCTCCCTCCTCCTCTCCCATCACCCTCCCCCCTCTCACCACTACAACCCTCCCTCTCCCCTCCTCCCCACAACACCCTCCCTCTCCCCACTACACCCTCCCTCTCCCCTCTCACCACTACACCCTCCCTCTCCCCTCTCAACCACTACACCCTCCCTCCCCCTCTACACCACTACACCCCCTCTCCCCCTCCCCTCTACACCCTCCCTCTCCCCCTCTACACCCTCCCTCTCCCCTCTCACCACTACACCCTCCCTCTCCCCTCTCACCACTACACCCTCCCTCTCCCCTCCCCTCTTCCTCTTACCTTTGTATCGGTTGTAGAGCTGTTCTAGCTTCTTGCGGTCCACAGAGGTTTTCATGGATTCTTTATAGTAGAGGTCGGGGTTCTGGAAGTAGTTGTCTGTGGCCACCTCTAGTTTCCAGTCATTCTGGGTCAGGCAGTACACAGCTGTCCTCTCCCCAGACTGAGTAAAGGTCATGAACTGACGAACCTTGTCCTTTTGAGACGACTTCAGCTTATGCTGCCAGAGAGGAGACAGACCCAGTTGAGATAGACAGGTTCACACACGCACACATATATACAGCCACTACAAAGACAGGCAGGTTATCCATCACCTCTGACCTCTGACAGACTGCTCTTCAGATCACCTGCTAAGGCCATCGGGTCAGGTGCACCAGAAACATGACAGATATATTCCCCACTACCTAGTCTACAGTCGGTAACTATCTGTTGGAGAACAGTTCCATTTCTCTCCGATTTGTATTTCTCTCTACAGAACAGCATCCTTAGACAGAGAGGGTTGTTGGAGTCCTGCCAGTCAATGGCAGCACTGGTGTTCTGTTCAACCCATCCTTTTGACTGTAAACTTTACTTTCTTCACAGCATGCACTCCCCAAAACATTGTACATCTATATAGAATCATATGGCATTGATGGGAGCCTGAGGGATAATCCGTTAGAAACGGGAAATACATCTGTGTTGGGAAATACATCTTGATGTAAACATTCCGCAATGATCTAAACGGTCGTCGGGACAGATAACGGAACGGGATCAATAACACACACTGGCAACAGTCATTACATCACTCATCACCGTGAGCAACGCACCGTGTGAAAAAACAACAAACGTTTTGCTCCTGTAAACAACGGGAGGGTTGGCACACAACCACGGAGCCCCTTCGAATCTGAACAGTGGCTAGGTCGGTGCAGTGCGAGATGGCTATAATCGTGAGAAGAGAACTGCCCGTCTTGCAGATCTGACCCCATCTTCTCGCTCAGGACCCGCCCGATGGTAGCGGGCATTGGCAGCGCCCTCTCCCGCGACCCAGTTCCCAAGCCAGCGCGCACGGACAGCCCCTCTCTGTTCCAACGCATAGGCGACATACCAACCAGGGGAAAAGGTACGTGCCGCAAGTGCGGTTGTCCGCTCTCACAATAACAACAACTGACCTTCCATTTCCCACATAAATTGCAACAGTGAACGACACATTGGCAATGCGACACTGCCAGAGGACACCCGTTTCCCGTTATAGAGAGCCTTCATAGCGAGCCCCCCAAAACATTTCCAGCTATACACTTTGTCCCATGGGTTTATTCACAAGTTTAGGTTTATCATTTTGATCTTACCTACCATTTTATCACCCTCTGTTTGGCCAACTTGATATCCCAATGCCCCTTGTACGCCTGCGCGGGAGGACAGCGCTACCGCACGGGAAAGTTTGAGGGTCTACACTGGGACTTGTAGTTCTTGGGATAATCAGTGCTCGTGGTGAAGTTGTGGCCTTGTTTAGTGCACTTCTGAACCAAATAACACTGTACATGTATAATGATGACATTGTATGCATAATAAACATTTGCATAAAATGTTAATTTAAAATAATGTGATTCATTGCAGGTAAAAATGTACTTGCACAATGCTGTTGACTAGCTGTGATGAGTTTATGTTCATGGTCTTTGGAGCTAGTCCAGCAGCTAAATAGAGCAGTCAAACAACTTTCCAACTGTCGAGCTTTTTCCAAGAAGGGCAGTTACTTGTGAAAAACGGCACTTGATACAACTACATATCCCAGATATCTGCGCAGATATCCAACCAATCGTTGTGATTTGTTTCGGAAGTTAAGTGAAAAATAACTACAATTTAACATTTTATTACGCTATCACAAATCTAATTCACCACAAACAACTTGATTAAAATGTTGCAGATTTGTTACGAGAAATTTGACTTCAAATTCTCATATTTTGAGGAGCTTTCTGTCAATGTTCAAGAAGTTTGAAAAGTTCGGAGCCGTACTAACCTAACGTTAGTTAGTTAACATTAGCCAACAAGCTAACCTAGTAGGCGCAAGCTGGTTTGACAGCTTTCAACATTCATAGCTAACCTTGCTAAAACATCGGGCACGCAAATGCCATTTATAAAGAGCAATAGCGCAATATTGAACAATACATTTGACTCAAATGCCTACCTGACAGACGTAGCTAGGCCGTTTGTTGCAGTCAACCGTAGGGGTCTTAGAAATGCATTAAGTTTGTCGCCCTGTGTGTAGTTGAATGCCTGCTCTAGGGCTCAACGTTGGCTAGAGCTATGTGGCGATTGGGGAGGGGTGGCATTACAAGAGCACGATTGTTTTCGCTCATTTACTGTGGAGTTCAGGTCTGAGAGAGGACGACGTAGCACACTAGCTAGTAGGTAGCTATCTAACATTTTACCTATTTTATTTTCCACGAATTTAAGCATAAAATAGATGGCATACCTGCTGAATATGCAAATCAACATTTAAGTCCATGATCAGATCACTGTCAGCTGTAATTACAACCTTTTTTTCTCTCCACTGAATGAATGATCTCTGTACATCATATGAATATGTAATGTTACCGCACAGCTAATGCAAAATACTTGTTGGCAATTTTGGTGTTGTTACAGATGGTTTTCATTGTATTCTGTAACTATAGCTTGTGTGTGTACACCCTTATGAACAGTGGTCTCATTGATCAACACAGGTCAGCAGTAGGAGTAGAGTAGCTGATTTAACCCTGAACTGCCCATGAGGAGGGACGTAGGAGGGGTCTGGAATATAAACATAACTAACCCTGACCCATGTACACAAAGGTACTGTGCTGCTAGTATAAAGTATACACTTTGATTTCTCTTTACAATCCAAGCCATAGGTAAACAATTTCTGCAGTCTTTGGCCTACATTTTATTTTTGACTCAGTGTGACGGTGACTTGCTTCTTCCCGGAACTAGCTCGGGCTGTCAACTGTGTGTGGTGAGGGTGATGTGTTCTAGAAGGATACAGGTCACTGGATACAGGTGTGCTTCATCAGGCAATTGTTCCTGAGCAGGTATGGGCCGCGCCCCATCCTGTCTATGGCACTAACCTCTCTGGTGATTCCACTGGCAGGGAAACATTCATACAGTCTGTGTGTGTAGGTTTGTTTAACTTTGTCAGAGGAAGCTACACATTAGATACACATTATCGTAGCCTTTCTCTTCTCCTGTCTGCCACCAGCCTCTCTCTCTCTCTCTCTCTCTCTCTCTCTCTCTCTCTCTCTCTCTCTCTCTCTCTCTCTGTCCCTAGTCTTTGTTTTCTCACTTTGTTCAATCCATTCCTGCTCATAGCTTTTCTTCTCTCTCCATATCCCCTTCTCTCTCTCTCTCCCTCCCTCCCTCCCTCCCTCCCTCTTTCTCTGAAGGGGCAGCAGCAGAAGTAGGTTGGATGCGGGTTGTGTGTGCAGTGCTGTGCCTTGGCCTTGTAGGGGCGCTGCAGCAGGAGCAGGTAGCTCAGCATGCCATCAAGCTGCATCGGGGCAGGAGTGCTGTGGCCAAGCACGCTTGGAGCTGGGTGTCTGATAACTGCCGGCGCCTGGGCAGCCTCATCCGACAGAAGAACACGGCCATTAAGAAGCTAGCTGTGGCTGCAGCCGCTGTGGGGCGAGACCACTCCCTCTCAGACCCAGAGAGACTCTTCCAGGTGGGCGGCAGAGTAAAATGGAACGTTTAGCTCCATACCCTGACCCTAACTCTTAGTCAATCTAACTCTTTTTGGAACGATATGGTTATTACCTTGTTATTAGAGAGACTCTTCCAGGTGAGCTTTTTAACCCCACCCCACCCTTACCCCTCCCAAGTACCCCCTGTAGATAGGACAAGTACCCCCTGTAGATAGGACAAGTACCCCCTGTAGATAGGACAAGTACCCCCTGTAAATAGGACAAGTACCCCCTGTAGATAGGACAAGTACCCCCTGTAGATAGGACAAGTACCCCCTGTAAATAGGACAAGTACCCCCTGTAAATAGGACAAGTACCCCCTGTAAATAGGACAAGTACCCCCTGTAGATAGGACAAGTGCCCCCTGTAAATAGGACAAGTACCCCCTGTAAATAGGACAAGTACCCCCTGTAAATAGGACAAGTACCCCCTGTAAATAGGACAAGTACCCCCTGTAGATAGGACAAGTACCCCCTGTAAATAGGACAAGTACCCCCTGTAGATAGGACAAGTACCCCCTGTAGATAGGACAAGTACCCCCTGTAAATAGGACAATACCCCCTGTAGTTAGGCCAAGTGCCCCCTGTAGATAGGCCAAGTGCCCCCTGTAGATAGGCCAAGTGCCCCCTGTAGATAGGACAAGTGCCCCCTGTAGATAGGGCAAGTGCCCCACTGTAGATAGGCCAAGTGACCCCTGTGGATAGGCCAAGTACCCCCTGTAGTTAGGCCAAGTACCCCCTGTGGATAGGCCAAGTACCCCCTGTAGATAGGCCAAGTGCCCCCTGTAGATAGGCCAAGTACCCCCTGTAGATAGGCCAAGTACCCCCTATAGATAGGACAAGTACCCCAAGTTCCTAGTACCCCAAGAGTTCCTAGTACCCCAAGAGTTCCTAGTACCCCAAGTTCCTAGTACCCCTGGTTGGGAACCACTGCTCAATAGAATATTAGCTCAAAAGTATTGTGGAGCTCCTGCACCTAAATATAAACAGTACCGGCACCCAACATGTATACCGACACTTATTTTAGTCCAAGTCCAGCACTGCCCTTACCCCAACTCTAACCTGAACCTTTCTCTGGAGCAATATGTTAATAAACATAACCAAACCTTCATATGACCAAGCCAGGGCACTGTTTAGTCAAAACTGACATTCTAAAATGTCTCACTCTTAGTATAGAGATCTGTGTAAATAAAGGAGAGGAAACTACTTTTGAATATTGAGATGCAGCCCTGGTCTCACCCGTCTTACCTTCTCTGCTATCCCATGTCTGCCAAGTACACAGTCTGGAGGTGTTCTAGGTTGTATCCCAGGGTGAGTCCCAAACGGCACCTTGTTCCCTATATAGTACACTACTTTTGACCAGAGCTGTATGTCCCCTTGTCCAGGTGCACACCACAGGAGTCTGCTGAGGGGAGGACGGCTCATAATAATGGCTGGAACGGAACAAATGGAATGGAATCAAACACCTGGAGACCATGTGTTTGATACCATTCCACTGATTCCGCTCCAGCCATTACCACAAGCCTGTCCTCCCCAATTAAGGTGCCACCAACCTCCTGTGGTGTACACTCTGAAGGGCCCTAGTCTAGTATCCTCTCTCTTCTCTCTCCCCCGTCCAGGTGCACACTCTGGAGGTGTTCCAGAAGGAGCTGAATGAGAGCGAACGCTCAGTCTTCCAGGCGGTGGTGGGCCTGCAGAGGGCGCTGCAGGGAGACTACAGGGACGTGGTCAACATGAAGGAGAGCAGCCATCAGAGACTGGAGGCCCTCAGAGAAGCAGCCATTAAGGTGAGGGCAGGCGCAGGAGAGCAGCTATTAAGGTGAGGGCAGGAGGAGAAGGCAGCCATTAAGGTGAGGGCAGGAGGAGAAGGCAGACATTAAGGTCAGAGCAGGAGGAGAAGACGCCATTAATGTGAGGGCAGAAGGAGAAGGCAGCCATTAAGGTGAGGGCAGGAGGATAGGGCAGACATTAAGGTCAGAGCAGGAGGACAAGGCAGCCATTAATGTTAGGGCAGGAGGAGAAGGCAGCCATTATGGTGAGGGCAGGAGGAGAAGGCAGACATTAAGGTCAGAGCAGGAGGAGAAGACAGCCATTAATGTGAGGGCAGGAGGAGAAGGCAGCCATTAAGGTCAGGGCAGGAGGAGGAGGGAGCCATTAAGGTCAGGGCAGGAGGAAGAGGGAGCCATTAAGGTGAGGGGAGGAGAGAGGAGAGGTATGGAGAAGAGGAGAAGAGAGGGGAGGAGAGGTAGAGAGGAGAGGAGAGGAAGGAGAGGATAAACTTGGTTTTAACAGGAAGGTAGTGAATGTGATTAGTCGGTCTCCATGGTAACAGCCGGGCAGAAAGGTTCTGCATTCTGACCAGCTGGAGAGGCGGCAACTCTTATCTCTGATTGGATGAGCCAGAGCAGGGGCAAGTGGGGCACAGCATTACTCTGCAAAATACACTGCTATCTGTGGAGGCCAGATCTGTGTGTGTGTGTGTTTGCGCGTGTTTGTGTGCCTAATATATGGGTGTGTGCGTGTTTGTGTCTGTCTGTCTGTCTGTCTGCCTCCCTGCCTGTGTGTCTCCATGATGTAAATATACCCTGGATTGCTGATGCTATATATTGGCCAGTGAGAGGCTTTGGAGCCACCGGTCGGCCATATTGGCACTCCCAGAAGAAGCAGTCCTCCATAGGAATGAATGGAATTCTACAGTATTTCAATGAAATGTTTTTTTTTTGTAGTGGGGACAGTAACATTAGAACTTTCAAAAAATTATACTTTAAGGAAAATGTTTTTATATATTTTGTATATTTTTTAAAATGTTTAGCTCACAATATAATTTGAAAGTATGCATTAAGGTGTCTGTAATAGAATAAACATGGCAAAAACAAATGTAGATCAACAACAAATGTAGCGTACAAAATATATTTTACAAAGGTGGGGGAGTGCCAAGACAGCTTCAAAACAGCACCCCCTGTTAGTCATCTAGTGTATATATAAATAATTGGTCTGACAGCCTATCTGCCTGTCTGTCGGT